TCAGGGTACCTGATCCGCAAGTTCTGTAAGTACATCCTGCCATATGTGTTTAGAAGGCCCTGTTCAGATCTTTTCTGACCATTTTATGAAGATCTTATCCAAGGGGGCATTGAAACATTCAGATGTGTTGTATATTTGTTCACACATGCACCCCATCCTCTTTGGACTTTGGCTCTTTGGACTCAGCCTACATTTCTGCAACCAAATTGCAACTTGTTTATTAAAATAACCATATTAATAAACAAGTCCAAAATGCAGGTTCATTTGTAAAATATGAAGTCTATAAAGTGTCCTGCAAACAGTAGCTGCTTAAAAGCCTAGTGAATGTTGCTGCCATTTATCCACATTAGCAAGAGAAGGCTGATAATGCTGGATTTAATCAAGAAATTGGAAGCTATGATGAATTAGGCTTTTGGAAGCACCTACTTTATATGCATCTGAACCTGTACTAGAAGCAAAACAAATTTAAGGTCTCACAACTAGGTATGGCAAATCACTTGATTCTCATTTTAATGCTAACAGATCTATTTTTGCATTTATGAACTAAAACTCTGTCAATAGGGTTGCAACCTCAGTGTTCATAAATTCCTGAACTTGGAGGTTTTCAATCAGCCTGCGCAGAATACAATGTAAGCAGTCCCTGTTGCCCCTGAATCTCCTGTTCTCAGTTGCAGCTGGCTGGCCAGTTCAAGCATCTAGTTGATGCAGTTCAGAGGGAGAAGGACTACTTCATATCTTGATTTCCTTTCTCTGTCACCTCTTCACCACCACCCCATTTCCCCCTCTCTCAGGTCAAGTTCCCTACAATTGAGAGACAGTGCCATTCTTTCCATTCTAGCTGCAAAGTGCAGGAGGTAGATTGGATCATGGATTCCCAGCTTGTAGATCAGAACTGTTTCCAGCCTCAGATATGGGAATCCAGTTTATCCGATGACCCCCTCCAACAATGTCTAGGTGTGATAGGTCTATCTTAAAATATGCAGTTTTGCACTGGAGTTTGCCAATTAAAAATGCATGGAAAGATGTGCATTTTAGGGAAGGCTGGATACAGAAATGTATGTCTTAATGATGATAATGTTTTTAAAATATTAGGCAAATGTATATATTTTTGTAACATATGCTTACAAAAAGGCATGGGTTAGAAGAAATATGTACATTTTGGACCTGCTTCTCCTATAAAAGAACCTTCAAAGCTTGTAGATACAGCTTTTGTCTCAGATGAGGAGGAGAGACCAGAAATACCAAGGCCAGTGAACCCAGAGATATGCCAGGAAGTCACTGAGAATCAGATGGTTTACAACTCTGTTGAAAAGTTTAGTTAGGAGGAAGAAAGATGTAACACCATTAATCTGAGCATATAGCATCAGGTTAAGAGGGTGGGCCAGCTAAGAAGTGTCAGATTGTCCAAGCAATTGGCCCTTAAGTAGGAGGACCAACTTGAAAGTGTGGTTTGCTTTTTTCAGTTTGGAAAAGAGGGGAGCGGTATTCAATGTGGAATCAACTTCATATCATCAATTCACATTCCCCTAATATCCAGTAGTCTAGCTTCACTTGTTTCATTTCCACAATACTCTTCTTTTGTACTACAAAGCCAGTCTAGCTGGTCAGCTTTAACATAATAAAGCTTTTTAGTTAGGAAGCATTTCTGCTTGAAAGGAAGGAAAGAAGAATGGCCACAGCAAAATGAACACAAAATGCATACAAGTTTCATGCATTTTTTTTAAAAAAATCAATATTCTAATTTAAGATTGGAAAAAATGAAACTATCTCTAGTTCATGCATGACACTTGCTATTGTTATGTGTGACACTATGGAAAGATACCAAAGTGAAGACAAAATATCTGGAAAAGCGATAGGATAATCAACAAGAACATTTAGGAAAAGGGTGATATTTCAGTGGTTTTGCATGCAGAAAGGCAGGTTAACTTCTTGGGATTTCCAGGTAGGATTGGGGAACATTCCTGTCTGAAACATGAAAGAACAACTCCAGAAAGTGTAGCTGATCATGAGAAAGACAGACCAGCTATCTCCTGTGCTGTGAGAGCTTGGCGCTTGGAAAGCATCTGCCTAATGCCACCCTTTTTTGGCTATAGTCACTTCAAGATATGTTATTTTAAGTGGAAAAACAACAACAAAGATATCGTGCTTAACCTTTTACCACCTCACCACTTTTTCAGTCACAATCACTCCAATCTAAAGCTGCATCAAGTGCTATTTTTCTTGATAGAAAGGCTGGGTACAACTCAAATAAATAAAAGTGTGGAGCAGGAAGCAACAGGACTTGGATACATCTCTGTGTGTTCAGCTATGCCCTTAGAATTTGCAAAAGGCCATAGTGGAAATAGTGACCCATTAGATATATTTGGTTGGATCCAGACATAGTTATGCTTAGTCCCCCACTGAAATCCACAGGACTTAAAAAGTTAATTTATATCTACTTGGCTCATTAATTCACTGCTTTTATGTAATGTGGCCTCAAGGCACTGGGTCAAGCTGAACAAAAGATTACTTTGCTCATAAATCAAGCAAAGTAAGACAGAGGATGTATAACACTGTTGAAAGTTTTTGTTTAACTTTAGGGAAGGGATATTATAAACTGGTTCAGGGGTGCAAAAGGAATACATAGAAACAGAAACCACAAACCACGCAGCATGTCATTCACCAGTTCACCAAGACAAAAGCATCCAATTTGAAATTGGACCTATGCTACTTTCTTCGAGTTGTTGCTGCGTAACACTGTCCCTGTACACAGGATTTAGACAGATATTTTCACAGTAACACCCCATAGGGTATCTTCCAAATATGGAATGTCTTAAATGGTCTGATCTTGGGCAGGGCTCTGCCAACTAAGGAGTACAATTGTGTTGACTTTGGGTGCCTCATAATGTCATTGCACTTGGTTCCAAATCCAACCTGAAGCTCTTGGTGGTGCAGTGGTTGTTAATTCTGTGATCCTGGCCAGTTTCATTAACTGCTTGGCCAGTTTCATGTGTAGCAACACTTGCTGGGGACACAGACAGCTCTAGTAGGGTTCAGAAGGGTTATGGCTAAACCACAGCCTGCAATTCAATATGTAAAAGTCCTACATGGGTGCTAGGGCAAAGGTCCTAAGAGGTCCAAAAAGGGATAGTCCTTGACTGTGGCAAAGAAAAACAGTCCACAACCACTTGCCTCTTTAGCTCTCATGATTGTACAAGGCACAGCATGTAGAGCAACCATGGTTGTCATTGCAGTTTTCTGCAGTGTGAAGGGCAAATAGATTTATGTTGGAGCAGCAAGGTTCTAAGTAAATGTTAAAGCGGGAGTGGTGAACCTACGGCCTTCCAGATACAATTGGACTTCATCAATTTGAGGTGTAGTCCAACATCTAGAGCGCTACCAGTTTCCCATCCTGTGTGTAAAGGCTCACAACTGGAAGCATGTGAGATTACATGTGAGCAAGGGATGTCCATGTATACTCAAAAACATTGGATATGCTTACTTTTTAAAAATTCAGAACAGTATTATCAGTCATGGTTAGTGTCATGGAGGGATAGATAATCTATGACTGCAAAACTTGCATGGCAGACAGGACCACATTGCATCTAGGAAAAGAGAGAGGTGAACACAGTCACAAGGGGCAATCTTCAGGCCATGCTAAAATGATGAAACAACTTCACCAACCTTCTACTCATTTTCCACTGGGAGCACTAATTTGCTGTTATGCAAGCCATGGAGGCCACTTGCACAATAGATTTGGCAGGGCTGACTGCATGTGGAACAGAAGCGTAGGTGTACCCTTCACACAGGCAAGGATTGGCTACAGCTGGATGTCTTTCATCCTGTGCCATGAATAACTGGAAGCCAGAAGTGCTGCTGAGTTTTCAATAAGAAGTCCTGGGAAAAAAACGAACTCACAGACCCATTATCCAAAATAATCACACTAGCAGCACTTCTGCATCCTTATTGCATCCTCTAGTCTGACGCAAGGACTGATGAACTGAGGTGCTCTGTAACTTTCTTGTTACCCTTTTCTATTAGTTAATTTTACCAGCCATATCTTTCCATGGGTATTAGCAGACATAGTCTGAAAATACTGTATTATGAGAAAGATATTTGAATGCCTCTGCTGTCAGGGTCCACACTGGCTCTTTACCTTTCTCTTGAAGCATCTAACATCACGCAGTGTTGCTCTAAAATGCCTCTTGCATCTGGTCTGATATTCCTGGGTATGTAGCCTTAGGACATATTCTTAAAAATGAATAATTTTGTCAGTAAAAATGTAATCAATATTGTATTTGTTTTGTTTTATTTATTATACTTTTAAACCTACTATCAACCTAAAGCTTTCTAGGAAGTTTACAATACAATGAAAACACAAAAAGGGCTAGTATGGTGTAGTGGTGCTACATTGGAATTAAGGAGCTCCACGATCTAGTCCCCACTTGGCACTAACACTCACATGGTGACTTTGGGCCTATCATTTCCTTTCAGTTTAAATCCTCTAACAGGGTTGCTGTGAAGATAAGAGACAAGGAAGACCATGTAAGCCAACTCTGAATGCTTGCAAGACAGAAAAACTAGGCAGAATATGAACGTAATAAAAAAGTAGACCTAAAACCAGTCCCTTTTAGCCAAAACTTGTATATTCATGGAGGTATTCAGGGAGATATCATCAGTATTTGGGGAATCCCAAAGTTTCTAAATGCTTCAATTAAATTTAAGAGGAACAATCCAAGACGGGAAGAACCAAATGAAAACTGAACAGGCTCAATGAATCTTGAATGTTTAAGGAACAAAACTGAAAGGTGGAAAGATGAAATGGGGGATTCTACAAAAGGGCATGTCCGGCTGGCTGGCCAGAACTGTGAAGAGGAGCACTCCACACTGTAACCGTTTGTTTTTGAACACATGTATAAATGAAAAAAGATGAAGCCTACTTTCACACACTCCTGCAAAGAAATTCACCCAGAATAAAAGCCAATACAATCAGCAAAAAACAGTAAGGACTCATACTCTACCTCTGCTGCCTCTGAGCAAACAGGTCCAAACAAGGCTGAGATGTGTTCCTTTTGAAACTGGTGGATGAAAGCCTGAAGGGACTTCTTAGCCTCACAGCCACAGTCCGCATATACAAACTCCAAGCTATAGTTGCGTAGGTAGGAAGGATCCGCATTGACTTTGTCAATGGCAATCTGCAAAACCGAACTTAACTTTTGGGCACTCAGTGGATATGAGATATTCCAGGGAGCCTGAAAGGCTACAATGAGCTTGGACCTTTCAAGACTGCTAACTGAATTTGTGAAACAGATTACAATAGCAAATGAGATCACTGAACAGCAGTAAATAGGAAGAAAACTCTGTGGGCATTTGCTTATAGGCCACAGCATCATTGGTAGAACAACTAGCTTCCTTTTAAAGTTGTAAAGGTTTTATTGTTCTTTCCTTGGTGTTATTTATACTACTGCTTTCAGGGATTATATCAACACCTTTACCCATAGCATGGCATTCATCAAACAGTGCTAATTAACAGAGTCAGTGATCACCATGGTAGCTTCTTTTGCAGTAACAACTTCTTCCCAAATTAGTTTGATCAATAGGACATATGCAAGGAATAGAATTGCACAATGTCTTGTTTACAAAATTTCAGGACCTAGAAAAGTGATGAGTACTATCTCTGCTATGTTGTTACAATGCTAAGTGTAATCCAGAAAGAATAAATTATTTGTTTGCAAATAATATCTTTCTTATGGTATTAAGTAGAATTGAGTGCAAACTTCAGCAAGTTTTCCTGGTCTACAGTAAAGGACATTCTACTGTAAATTCATGTGGTTATTTTCCAGAATATTATCAAAATATTGAGGGTGATATTTTGAAGTTTTGTGAGTGACAAAGTCAACAGAATGAGTTCGCTGAGGGGCTGTAGGATGTGATGGGTCTTGCTGGGGTACTACTCCTTGGAGCTGGCCCATCAGGCAAAAAAGCAGAGGCATTATTAGTCACAGGTTCTGCTAATGGGAACCCTGGGCCAAAAGAGTCCAGAAAACACCTTCAGCCTCAGAGCTGGGACTTCACAGAGGCTCTGTACTTCCCCTGCCCTCCATGAGATGTTCATAATTCCCTGAGTCTGGAGGCTTACAGGCAACCTCACTGTATCATGTGCCTCAGTTATTTCTAGGTTGCCTTGACGGTGGAACTCTCTCAGTGTCCAAAATAAAAGCTACACAAAGTGGATACATATGTGCCTATATGTGACCCGTTTCCACCATTTTTTTAGCATGAAGTTACACTTGTATAATTCTCCCAGCTATGGCTCATCTTGTGCACAATGCCCCCCCCCCCCCGTTCCTGGCATCTACAACAAGCTGTTGATGCAGGAACTAGATAAATGCCTCAGTATCTGTTTGATTTCTGCCTGCTCCCATGGCTGAGAGGTAAAGAATGACTTTGTGCTATTTGCCCCATACATAATTGTTTTGGGGCAAGCTTGCAGAGTGGACCATATTTCTGCCTTCTCTGGGTGGTACTGTAACTCCCATATCTTGCTTCTCATTTCCATGTTCTGTGGCAGGAGAGGGGTACCTGGTACTGCGTAGCATGGCCAATGTCTGGGGATTATGGGGGTTGCAGTCCAAAAGACCTTGAGGGCTTGCCCAGATTACCTATGCCCGCCTGTTCTATGGAGTGAACCCTTGAGGGCGCTGCTATTACCAGCTTTCTGGGTCTTCCCTTTGTGACCTATTTCCATCCTCCCCACCACCTTTGCCCTCTTGCAAAAGAGCTTTTCCCACCACGGGTGGGGTGTGGACCCTTCTCTCAGGGAGGACTGCCTGTGTACTCTCTGCAGGCCTCCTGGCCAGGATGCTGTGCTGTTGAGCCCCTCCTTTCTTCCCTTTCTGTGTTGTACTACAGAAAGGTAGTTATGGAAAGCATGCAGGGAGTTGAATCCCTGCATGGCAGGATGACTAAGTACTGGAAATAGCTGCCTGTGCCAGCTAGCCTGTTGCTAGCTGATGCTGATTGGTGGGCTTTGAGAAGGCTTCCATGGATACTGGAGTTATGGGCACCATTTGGGAATGTTGCAATCTGTGAACTTTCCCTTCTCCAGCTAACTACTTATGGCACGTGTAGCCATTGCATAAGAACAGTTGTAGCATCTTCCCATCGCATAATTCACCTAAAGAATTGCCCTGTGAGAATATTGCCCTTAATTTCATTAGGAAATGTGTGTTTAGTTTCATTTAATTATCCCTGGAGATGTTTGATCACTCATACTTGCTTATCTCAAAATGGAAAAGCAGATTAATCTATAAATGATTATTGAAATATGCTTTTTATTGTCTCTTGTTAGTGATAATAATTTGATGACCAAGATAGATTCAAAATGCTCTTTAAACTCCATGTGTCTTAATAATGCATGTAAGATATTCTTCCCTTTGAACCTTAGTGGGCTTTTATAATTGTTTAATAGTCCCAAAGTCCAAGTCCAGAATGCATTTCCTGTCCCCTACCCCCAGAACATGGAAGCATAGCGTGAACAGTGCAAAACTCCTTTGAAGTCAGTGAAATGCCTATCTGTGCAATTTCTCTTGCTCTTTAATACTGGAGAAACACTTTTTAATCTTAGAAAAAGTATTAAGTATATATATAATTAATAGCATGATATTATACAATTAATAACATGAACTACACCATCTCTGTCATTGCTGTTCCTCTCTCCTTCCTGGCTGGTCATGGTTACCAAGCAAAACTACCCCTCAGGGTAAAGTGGGGTAATGCCATATATGCCATTCTGCCATCAGTATAGAAATTAATGTGGTGATAAATTGCAAATATAATAATGAATAAATTTCAGTTGGGTTGCTTTTCTTTTTTGCATTTGGCTTCAAAGCAGATTGCATTAAAATCTTGTCTTAATACTTGCAGATTTTTTGTGAAGGGGAGTGGGAAGTGCTATCTTGTCTTTCACTGCTCCTGGATGCTTGGCATGTTAAACGCTAAGCCTAAAATGTTGGGAAATAGAATGGAACTGCAATAGCTTCAAACCAAGATAGTGTCAACAATAGGGTGGTTTTTAAAGGGAATGGGCTTTTTGCAACATATGGCAGGTGTACTGTGGCAGGTCATCAGAATTGCCTTATGATTTGCACATACTGGATGTGCGTAATTGATATGGCCATACCAACAACAAAAATATCATGTCACCATGATCTAACAGCTATCTTCCAGAAGGCAAATCAGTGTCAAGGACTGAACTTGACTCCAACATAAGAGCTGTAAACCAGAACATCTGGAGGGCTACAACTCCCATTATTCCTGACTATTTGTTATGCTAGTTACAGGTGATGTGAAATTTAGATCCAGATATATGGGGAGCCACAAGTTGCCTAATGGACACCCCTGGAAGGTGGAGGAAAGCCATAACAGTGGTAAGCTAAAAGTTAGGAAGTCTTTAGTTAGGGTATCTGTGCATGTACACAAAGACATAACACAGATCTAGTAAAAGTTTGTCTGAATATCGAGAATCATAGAAGAAATCAGAGGGTCATCAAGCCCAACCCTCTGCTCAGTGCAGGACTCCAATTTAAACCAACCCTCTCAGATGGCTGTCCAGTTGCATCTTGAACGCCTAGTGCGGGAGAGCCCACAACCTCCCTCGGTCATTGGTTCCATTATCCTACTACTGTGACAGTCAGGAAAAAAAAATCCTGGTATCTAGCTGTAATCTGGCTTTCTGTCACTTGCATCTGTTATTTCATGTCTGGCATTCTGGTGTGAGTTAGAAACAGCCATTGTGACAGCCTTTCAATCAGAGAGCTATCATATCTACCCTCAGTCTTCTTTTCTTGAGGCTAAAAATGCTCAGTTCTCTCAATCTCAACTCACAGAGCTTTGTTTCTAGTTCCTCCCCCAGTTTGAGGAGGGGCCTTTGAGGAGCACTATGTGAGTCTGATGCTGGAGCCAACTGTGGAGCCACCTGATAGTTGTTTCATCTAGCCCACTGTTTGCTAGTTTTCTAATCAGGACATCATGGGGCACTTTGTCAAAAGTTTTGCTGAAGTCAAGATAGATTATGTCTGCAACATATTCACAGTCCATCAGGAAGATTACCCAATTAAAAAATTAAAGCAGATTAGTTTGCCAGGGGTTGTTCTTGAGAAATCCCTGTTGGCAACTAGTAACCAATGTCTGCTTTATAATCTGCTCAGGAATTTTCACAGGGAATGTTGTCAGACCAATTGGTCTGTAGTTCCCAGGTTCTTTGCTGCTTTCCTGAAGATAGGGCGATCTTAGCCTTTATCCAGTCCCCAGCACTTTCTCTATCCTTCATGATTTCTCAAAGAGAAAGACAATGGTTCTGAGAGTTCTTCTCAGCTTTAGCCTTCCTAATGGCATCCTTGTAATTCTGTGCTACCTGCCCGTATTCTTTCTTTGTAGCCTAGCCTTCCTTCTACTTCCTATACACATCCCTTTTTGTTTTCAGATCATCTCTAGGGTTTAGTTTTTAGTTTTTGTTATTTTTTGAAGCCATATGAACTTCCTCTGTTGTCTACCCCTTTTCCTTGTTGGACTCGTTCACATTTTTTTAAATCCTTTTTTCAATTTCCACCTATCTTGATTTCCATTACTCATTAGAGTCACTTCCAATGGGACTTTACTTATCATTGTTTTGAGTTTATTAAAATTGCCTTTCCTAAAATCCAGGGTACAAGTTTGGTTACATTTTACTTTTGCTTCCATTAGAATCAAGAATTCAGATATGGCATGGTTGCTTTCTCCCTCACTTCCTTTAGCTGCCACTTTGTTCACTAGGTTCTTCCCTGCTGGTTAGCATCAAGTCAAGAATAGCCATTCCTCTTGTTCCTTCCTCCACTTTCTATTGGAGGAAGTTATCAGCAACGCATGATAGGAATATCTTGGGGAGGTTGTGTGTTTGGCAGAATCTGTCTCCCAACAGATATGAAGGAAATTGAAGTCCTCCTTGAAACACTGTCAATTTGCTTTTCAAACATTTTATCCTCGTCTTCTCCTTGACAGGGTGGTTGGTAAAAGACTCCAACCACTGTGTTCCTTTTATTTCTTTCTCCATTTATATTAATCCAGAAGCTCTGGATAGGACTACTAAGCTCATCTTCCTGTATTTCTGTGCAAAGATACATATCCTTAATGTATAGTGCAACTCTACTTCCCCTTTTCCTTCCCTTCTTCTTGAACAAGTTATATCCTTCAACTGTTAAATTCCAATCATGGGAGTCATCCCACCAAATTTCAGTTATACCTATCTGAGTCATATTCACCCTCCTATATCAAGAGTTCAAACTCATGCTGTTTGTTTCCCATACTCTGGGTATTAGCATATAGACATTTAAGACCACATGCTTTTTACTCTAGCTTTCTTCCTACATTTTTTTTTTTTTTTTTTGGAAAACTGTTACTGGGCACTGCTGGAGCTGCTCTTTCTGTTGTGGTGCATAAGCCTTTGTCTTATGCAAGTGTACTTCTCCCAGGTGTACTTCTCACAGAGTTTTATAACTCTGTACACACAGCATTTGCTTGCAGATTTCTATTGTGATAAGTGGTGTGGCTGGACATATCTGCTTCACTTGAGGAACTGAAGGTCTTTGTATAGATAAACTATAAGACTTAACTGTGTTCAGTAGTGTGTCATTGTACAGTTTTTCAGGGAGGCTAATATTCTAGAAAATATACTGTAAAGTGAACAAAGTGCTTACACCCCCTGCAAAATCCAATTCTCCTTAAAAATCCTATGGTTGAAGCCATCTTGATTCTTTCCTGAGATGCAAAATGATTCCTTACCACGGATTGTCCCATCTCTTGATAACCTTTGTTTTTGTAGAACTGAAGTCCAAATATTTGCATTAAATGTATAGCAAAGCACTATATCCTCAAATTCAGCTCAGTTATCTGGGAACAGATGCTCTCTTCATCATTGTGCATGGTTAGCACAAATTATACTATGTTATAATGCTATAACAATGCTATACGCAGACCTACCTGGGAGTAAGCCCCATTGAAACTGGTGGGATGTCTGAGACAACATGTCTCATGTAGGTTTGCAATGGTACGTATCCAGTATTAGTCCACATAGAGTAGACCCATTTTAATTGATGAGATGACTTACTCAAATTAACAACCCATTTATTTCAATGAGTCTACTCCACAAAGGAATAGCATTGAATGCTATGCATTGCAAGGCACACACACACACAAACTATTTCTTACCCATTCTATTTCTTGCCTAACCCATCATTCTCCTTCAGAATATTCATGGTCATATTGCTTCATCCTGCATATTTCTCCAGTTTCTAATGAACAATATTCACCCAGATCTGTCTTCTATTAGCCTCCCATCAGATACGTTGGACTGCAAGTCTCATAATTACTAATCAGCAGCCATTGGAGATGCAGGCTTGGAATTATTGAAGTTGCAGCCCAATGCATCTAGAGGGTGGCAAGTTGGAGGAGGAGGAGGAGAAAGAAGAGTCAGGTAATGAAAGAGTAGGTGCTGGCACATCTATATAAGTGTTCCACTGAAAGGAGGACAAAAGTGTTACATTAAAACACAAGTTCTGTTGCCTTTTTCAAAACTCATACTGGTTTTGCAACTTCAGGCAAGCTGAGTAAGTTTGTAAAACTGTTGTGTAAACACCACCTCTTTAACCTTTTGCTTAACTGGCATTTCACACCAATTACTGTGACTATTTGATCAGGCCAAGTCTTACCTTTGAAACCATCTCAGGCAGGTTCAAAGGTTGCCTTAGGTGCATATCATTTTATTAAAGCAGCTTGCGCAAGTTGAGCAGGTACAGATCGGCCACAAGAATGGTTTGCGAAATAGGCAGACTTTAAACGTTAGTGCAAGGCTAGCCAGAGCAACTTCTTGCTCACTTTTTTGTTTGGGTAACAGAAAGAAGGTAAGTGTGTCCTTAATTCTCTTCCCTGGTAAAAATATGGTGATTCTAAATAACTAATGTTTGCTGCTTAAGGATTATGGAAAAGCAGAAAAGCTGAATAATATACATTGGGTAAGATGTTTGCTTTAGTTTTAAAATTATTCTTAATTATTCTTAATGTTAAAATACAAATAGGAATATAAAATGTTCAGAATATGACTATATAACTAGAAATTCTTCAATTTTGAATTAAAAATCAAATTAGACATTGAAACCAAAATTTTATTTCTGCATGGTATACACTTTTGCATACCTAACAGAGGCCATGATAAATCTGTTAGTCTTTAAAATATCAGAAGACTTTCTGTGTATCTTTTGCTGTAACAGATTAAAATGATAATCTACTCTGGAACAATTCATGGAATGGCCAATTTATATCCACTTTGGAAGCCAGTCTTACCATGTTTCTCTCTAGAAAATCAAAAATGAGATTTTAATCATCACACAATTATGCTGCTAGATGGCATATCAAATAGTGAAAGATAGCCACAACTGACAATTAATAAATACATAAATGTCATGTGTGTATACAAATGCATGTCTTTATAAATATCTATCTATCTATCTATCTATCTATCTATCTATCTATCTATCTACATAAAGGCATTCTTAAAATGGCAAACACATAGCCTTCTCTGAGCAGTGGTTGGCAGTGTATTTTTATGTAGAGTTCACCAATGCTACCAAGCCATTTATATGCTTGGCATTCAGATTAATAGGTGTGCAAGTTCTACGCACTTTTACCTTCACAGCTACTGTTGATGGTGGAAGCCAAAATATTCAGGTCTAAATATGTTTTGAAAGAGGTTTGCTCTTAGTCTGTCTATATGATTTGTGGCCCAGGAACATTCCACAGTATGATGTTATCACTGCACCAGCATTGTGACCTTCAGGTGACATTCAGTATGGCTCATTCTGTACTCTCCCTCCAACCAGTTCCCTTGCGCGGCGTTAGAGGCACTGAGAGGGATATTGTGATCCATGCAGTCATCACAATAGACTTTCTGTGAGGCCATGCTATTGGGAAGAAATGGAACTCACAGTTGAAATAAAATGCAGTGGCAGAGAGATTTGGGAAAGTGTGTATTCCCTGTCAGAGAGATCCTTCCTGTGGCTATCTCACAATCTTCTACTGCTAAACTACTAGTAGCCAGGTGTTTTAATCACAGCTCTCTTGAGAATGCCAAGTGGCTACTGAAAAGCAGTATATATATTTTAGAAATAATAATAAAAATAATAAGCAGGCTCTAAAATTAATAGCAATGGATATTTTATTTATTAGATTTATATCCTACATTTTTCTTAAACAAACTCAAAGTGGCTTACATTATTCTCCTCCTCCTGCTCCCAATCTTATGCCACAACAACAACCGTATGAGGTAGGTTATGCTGAGTCTGTGTATGAAGCATGCATAAGAGAATGAGCAAACAATGCCTTTAAAATACCCTTATAATATGGTGGGATTTGAGTATTCCATACCTGGCAGGATGACTTGCACTACGTGACTCTGCTGTCTCAGGCTTGATACCATAGGTGTCCACAACACTCTAGCAGTCTTCCTCACCTTGATGGCCTTCAGAAGCATTTGGACTGCAACTACCAGAAGGCGCATCCAGCAGGGCCATTGATTGAGAATTCTGGGTGTTGCAGTCCAAACATGTCTGGAAGGCACAAGGTTGGGGAAGGCTACGCTATGGCAAGCTCCTTAGTCACCATGTCAAAGGAGCAGATATCATTGTCAGCAGCTGCAGCTAAGGGTATGAGTGCCAGTAGACACCAGCTCTGTCACACTGGGAGTGCTACCACAGGTAATGTGCAATTGATTTAGCTAACCCTGAAGAGCCTTCCAAAGAAGTCTGATAGAGGCTCCGAGCTGCAACTCCATTTTGTCAGTAGCATAGCAGTGTAAATAATTGATCTGGTAGATGAATGGTTTTATCAGGATTTATCTCAGTGATCCTGTAAGTTCTCACAGCCTGTAAAGTCAATCTCTTCTTTTTGTCAGTGCTTTGGGTGGATTGTATTGCTGGAGGTAATGGAACTTGTAATCCAACAGATATGGTGGTCACCAAATTTGAGAAAACAGGACTAGAGACCCTCCCCTGTTGCAGAGCAACGTTTTCTCTAAATGAGTACACACACCCCCAGCTTAGATTGGTATTGGCATAGTAGAACGTTCTAGGAATTTTAGGACTTTTCCTACAACATATTCATGGGCTTGCACATAGTATCACTTGCAAAATGATTCTTGGAGGCCAAACGTCATGCAGCAATGGACAAGACAAAATGATATGGGAAAGTCTCAGGCATCGGTGGCTGAAAAGTTGGGAAAAAGTTACAAAACAAGCTAATTAACAGGTACCTTAACATTTCATATTCTACAACTGCTCTCCACCAATTCCACTTCCTCATGTTAATAAATATTCAGGACAATCCTAATTTATAGGTTACTACAGCATATCTCAATGTTTCCTCATAAATAATCAGCAACATTTACTACTTTTTTACTTACGTTACTAGTAAGGAAGTATCCTTATGTTTGAACACATTCTCCCCAAAAATCTTACATTCTAAGATGTACTAAAAAGCATTCCAATGACAAATTTGGGAGCAGTGAAGTAATTCAGAACTACAGTTCCCATATCTAGTTTCAAATACAAATGAAACCTTTTACTTTCAAATCCTTTTTATTTTCTATGTATTTTAATAGCTCAGTTCTAGTATTAATATTGTATTTTATGCCTGTGTTCCAATTTGATTATGGTGGTAGTTAGCTTTTGTTGTACTCAGTGTTTTAGTGGGGGTTATTGGTTTATTGTCTTATTGTGATGTTTGTTTTATGTTTTTTGACTTTGTTAACCACCCAGAGAGCCATCAGGCTATTGGGTGGTATAAAAATGAAAAAAATAAATGGATCATTTATAATGGATCATTAAAGCAATAATTTTATTATTAACACTATGTGTATAACACTACAGAGTGTGACACTTCACTCTGGTGTTGATATTTATTCTTTGATTCGTGAACCAGAGTCAGTGTGCTCTATTCTAGAATAGTGATATGTTTTGCCCATAATAATGTTCATACCTTTATGCATAAGATGCATAAGGTTAAGATTTCAACATGTGATACATTCCCCATCATTATCACCATGCTGGAAAAATATTGACATCACACTAGTCAAAATTCTGTCAAATAAAAATGTAGTTATCCCAGAATATCATGTTTTAGGATACAATCTCCTAGACATGCTATTGACCAGTCATTAAATTCATTCGGTATGACTTCATCAAGATCCGTATATTTATAGGATAACTAATTCTGGTAATCTGTACATGTATCTTTAACAACCTGAGAGGCAAATATTTAGTAGAAATTTCCAGGCAGGGAGACATGGAAAGTGAAGAGGGAAAGTTTCATTGGCTAGATTTCTTTATGCTGTGTGTCTGTTCAAAGTTATAGGAACAGACCAAGAAAAAGAGATAGTAACTTAGAGCACAAGTTCCAATGGAAAGATGGAAAACTGTATAGTAGTAATAAAATTGTATAACAGACTTGGCTTGGATGTAATACTAAACTGTAGTTCAGCATTACACCTTCAAACTTTTTTGTATTTGTCCTTCTCCAGTATGCAATAAGGAAGAAATCAGAAGCTTTTGCCTCAATTTTCAATTAATTGCAATGTATCATTTTATCTGAACCCTAAATCATAAAGTCCAGCATAAAACCTACTTAAAGTTTATCCATTAAAATGAATGGAACTTAAGATAGTCGTGACTAATGTCTCATTCATTTCAAAGATCTACTCTGAGTAGAGCTCTCACTAGCTTTACTCAGCCTGAAATTGGTTGGTTTCCTTAAATGAGTTTTCCCCAATTTGGTGCCATCAAGATGCATTGGACTAAAGTTCCCATAAGTGAAGGGATTTTTAGCTCAACATACTTAACTCTAGCTTAGAAAAGCTTACCCTACAACACAGTAAAGAACTAACCACAATTTGTATAGGTCTTAACATTAAACCAAACTGCAGATAGTTAAATAAAAGTAAAAGCCTGTTAATTGCCTCCTTGCGTCTGCACTGGAAGGAGAGCAAAGGAAAAGGAAAAGCTGAAGTTATGTTCTAGCTTTGCATTTTGTTTGAGGCAGGTGATTGCTAGCAGAAAGAAGTCTGTAGCAGAAGCAGAGGCAAATAATTACCTGTGTAAGTGATACTGCAGTCTTATGCACACTTATTTGAAAGTAAACCCAAGTAAACACATGAGGAATTACTTCTGAACAGCTGTAGTCAAGTTAAGGATATACCTCCACAGATTAAGTATTTTATGGGAGAATCCTAGTTATTACAGTGAGATTTACAGCTTCTCAAACGTTCAAGATAGTTCTCAGGCCCAAACAGTATTCTTTCATCATAACTCTAATCATACAGCAATTTAAAAAAAAGGGCTTGCGAATAAAGGTCTAAAATCATAAATGGAAAAGCTTGACTTCTGACCAAGTCCGTTTCCTGATACATCTAACTGAAATGTGGTTACTAGCTTCTCTTCCTGTTGCATTACACAGAGTTACCTAGTCAGCTGGACTCAATATGTATTTATACAGAAGGAAGTCCTAACGAGCCAATGAGGTTTACTTCTAAGTAAATGTATGTATATCTGCAACCCTGAGAACAATCAGCCACTTCCTGTTCAAGAGGCCTGCCTCTTATGAGAGCTCTTCCAGCACTTCCTGAGTGTAGTTGTTATTTAAGGCTGTCATTTTGTTGCAGGCTTCTGGTCAGTAAGTATCTGTATTTGTAAAAATTGCTGTGCTGGATATTATTTGTTGTAGGTTCTTTTAAGTTTGCTACTTTCATGTGTACTGTCTAGTAATTGCTTTTGGGGAAAATGTAACTTTAGAGATTGTGCAACATAAAATGAAATTTCTGGTTATGTAAGTACAGTACCTTTGCTAAAGAGATGCAAACTGCTGTTACTTTCATTTTCTTAAAAGTGCTAATGGTTGTATCCCACCCTTCTTCGAAAGTAAGGCTGTTAGTGTCCAGGCCGTATGATAGTAACTTGTCTAAATCTATCCACGATGGACTTTGTAGTTCAGTGGGCCTTTGTGTTTGTTTTGTTTGGGCCAAATGTAAGTTCTACATTCTAAGACTTGTCAACATTTAGTACTGTTCTGCTTCCTCTCACCATGTCCCACACAAACTCTTTTACTGGTCTTCTACTAGGTGCTTATTGAAGTCTCTGAGAGAGGTCCAAGAACCTGCCGATTCCTTTATGATATGGTTTGTGCCTTTAAGTAACAGTGATAGGCAATAGGCACCAAGTGTACATTTATATAACTCAGTTCATATTCAGAGATATAGCACAATCTTAATGTTGTACACTGTTGCTTTAGATGGCTAAGGAACCTTAGTTTTAATATTGCTTTTGTTCGAAACACATATCCACCAGATCACTTTTCCAGGCAGACTAGTGTTGCCCATGTACATTGATTGGCAGTAGCTTTTCCAAAGTCTTTCCCAGCCCTGTCTTGATATTTCTGCATGCCAAGTATTTTTTCTAGTACTAAACTATGACCTTTCTGGTTTAAGACAGCTAGAAGATTATTTTTGAGTCTTGGGATATTTTCCTTTTTAACAGAAGGGTTGCTTCTAAGAAGCAACCATCTTGGCTAATAATAACAAGACTTGTAGCAGAATCCAACAATGTTTGTATAAGTGTACTATGTGTGAATAATATCTTAAGTTTCTTGTCATTAAACAAGGCAAAAGTCTGAAGTGATAGAGATATGATGAATGCACGTTCATGGAACTGGGAAGGCCCCATCACTATTGCTGGCGTGTGTATCTCTTCTGTACATTGACAGTCATTATCGTTTTGTTTTGTCTTACGCATAATTCAGCATGGGTAGCATCTTCATCCATCTAGAGTAATGTTACTGTTATCCATATGTGTGAGATGCTAAAAACTACCAATCAGAAGGATTTAGATCCAGATATATGGGGAGCCACAAGTTGCCTAATGGACACCCCTGGAAGGTGGAGGAAAGCCATAACAGTGGTAAGCTAAAAGTTAGGAAGTCTTTAGTTAGGATATCTGTGCATGTACACAAAGACATAACACAGATCTAGTAAAAGTTTGTCTGAATATCTAGAATCATAGAATAGTAGAGCTAGAAGAAATCAGAGGGTCATCAAGCCCAACCCGCTACTCAGTGCAGGACTCCAATTTAAACCAACCCTCTCAGATGGCTGTCCAGTTGCATCTTGAACGCCTAGTGCGGGAGAGCCCACCACCTCCCTAGGTCATTGGTTCTATTATCCTACTACTGTGACAGTCAGGAAAAAAATCCTGGTATCTAGCTGTAATCTGGCTTTCTGTCACTTGCATCTGTTACTTCATGTCTGGCATTCTGGTGTGAGTTAGAAACAGCCATTGTGACAGCCTTTCAATCAGCGAGCTATCATATCTACCCGCAGTCTTCTTTTCTTGAGGCTAAAAATGCTCAGTTCTCTCAATCTCAACTCATAGAGATTTGTTTCTAGTTCCTCCCCCCAGTTTGAGGAGGGGCCTTTGAGGAGCACTATGTGAGTCTGATGCTGGAGCCAACTGTGGAGCCACCTGATAGTTGTTTCATCTAGCCCACTGTTTGCTAGTTTTCTAATCAGGACATCATGGGGCACTTTGTCAAAAGCTTTGCACACTTTTACTAAATTGTATTGAATGAGCTGGTATTGTGCACCACAGGGATATTATTATAGGACTGGGAGTACAAAGTCAAAATATTTGCTTGGGTATGTTGAAGAGCAAATTCTGAAATAGAAGATGGCTGCAATGTGAGTGAATGATTCCTAGGGTCAGGAAATTGGTGTTTCTCCTATTCTGATGGGTTTCATTCCTTCTGAAACAGCAGGTGTGCAGTGTAGAATCCTCATTATCACTTTGTCATGATGGATGGATCTTGTTCACTCTGTTCCATCTGTGCTTCATGAGTCATTGTTCTGTTATCTCTTCTTTGACAGAATTGGCCTTTTGTATGAGAATTTGGGTTTATTTGCTAATGTAAATCAGGAAAAAAATTGAATCCATGCAGAATGCATTGCTAGATTTGAGCAGCTTCAGTAGCATGGAATGCCCTTTGCCAGCTTTGCCTGGTACATCAGCTGTGAAAATTTCTGGACAGGGGATAATCTGGCTACTGTGTTCCATGCGCTTATAACCTTTATGGTTGAATTAGTATAATCTGTTACACATAGAGGTGAACATACCAAGGGTTTTTGCATAGTGGCTCATGCATAATATATCACTTACAGCAACTTATTCACTTTGAGGCCCAAGTTAATGCCCTTCCACTTACCCTTAAAAGCCGTAAAATGCTTGGACCTCAAATATCTGAAGGATTCCTTCTTCTGGTTCCATTCTGTCCCTGCATTAAGCTTTTCTGCTGTACTTCAAAAAAGCCTGCTATTGTAGTTGTTCTCTGACCATGAATAGTGCCCCTTAATTCAGTGTGGGAGCCTGTTTTACCTTTTCTGAGAGAGGTCACCTTGATGACCAAATCAATATGTTTAAAGATCATGCATTTTGATATTTATATCAAAATATAATTTTGTTTCAATCTGGCTCCCAGGCTAAGATAACTTTTTTCACTCAGGTCTTTGTTTGTATGGTTGACTTCATGGATTAACTGCCACCCTGAAATCCAAACAAGGGTGGTAAAAAAAGTGTTAAAGCAAATAAACCAGCTACTCTTCATATACTTAGGGAAATATGTTTCGTTTTCTTAAAAAGCCCATAGCTCTTGCTCTGCCCAGCAGCAGTAGGACACCTGGATGGAGCTGTGAGCAAATAATGATGTTGGCTGTCCATCCGCAAGCCTTAGATGCAACTGTTGCCTTCCTGAAGTTTCACAATGGGCATAGGAAAAGCTGTCTCCACCACAATTGAGCTTCTTAGCAATGAGAATTAGACAGCACTGACATGCTTATACCTTGAAGGTAGATGTGGTTCCTTTACTTGGGTGACTGGATAGTCTGTAGGTCCTGGCTTTTTGCAGCAGCAGTGTTGATGGAAGTATGTCATGATGGGGGAGGATATGCAGCCTGGGCTTTTCCAGGTTTTCCTTGGTTATTCCTAAGAAGTAATGCTTATAGTTTGGAAAATGGGCAGTAGAAGTCATGTTTGTAAGAACTCTCAAAGAGGTGTGGTTGACTTGCAATGGTTTTGGCTTATAGATACCATCAGCCATATATCCAGTGCCGTCTGGGATAAGGGATGATGCTGGTTGTAGACTAAAGCACCTGGAGGACCACAAGTTGCCCACCCTTGCTGTACATAGTGCCTCTCATTACTATTCAATGTGACAGACTGTTAATTGACTTTCTGCATCAGAGCATCAGGTCCATGACCCAAATTCAGTTCACATGCAATTCCAATCTAGCCCTCTGGTTTTCCTCTCTCTTCCACTGCCTGCTAATCCATGCTTTTGTTTATTTTCCCTTACTCTAAAAGGTAGAAATGCTGTTCTCAAGGCTTTGTTACTGTCAGTAAGAGCCTTAAGCAAAAATGCAGTGGTGTTATTGATATTATGGCCTTGGCCACTTCTGTAATGCAGGCACCAATAGTTTTAGTAAAGCTGACTTTGGTCCTCAACTGAAAGTTTTGACACCTCTGCTCTTGATGCTGCTTCATTCAGTCAAAATGGTTTCTCTGGCTCTGATTTCATGGACTGTATCAATGGGATTAAATCTCTTTTAAAACTTTACTGTAAACTTGATAAATGTTGGATGTATTATCACAGCTTATCTAATAAATCTTAAAGTATAGGATGTATCCAAATAGCACAAATTATAGTGTAAAACAAATTTTAAAATTATGATGGAACTCTGAATCATACTACTGTTAGATTGTTCAAGAGAGCTTTTGAACTATTTGGAGCTAAACATATACTAAGTTACACAAAGAATGAAACTACTACTTGAGAGATAGGAAGTGTTGTAAGCTTTACATTGCATGAACTTTAGCATTGTTCTGAGTATAGTGACATTTCTACTTTTAGATAAATGGGTGAAAAGGGCTTCCTGTACTCTTGGGATATGAGTAACTGTCAAATATGTTAACAAATCAGTAATGTATACACTGAAGGGCAAAAGCCACACACTGCGGAATATTATGCAATAAGTGAAAGTACAAAGTCACTTACTGTTATCTCTTGAAATTGCTAAAACCCAGTATATTCCTTGACACACTCTCAAGGGAATGTTCTTGGATCTGCAAACTCATTAAACTTCATATTTCCAATACTTTCACTAAGCTTAGAAGTGAAAATGTTTAGAAGGGTAACCCGATTCCTTCTTGGGCAAGATAAGAGAAATTATTGTGGGCTACAAGTGATGGTTAGTCTTACAGAAATTTTAAGAGGGAGTTAACAAAATTTGATAGGATCTAATTGAATGGATGCATTTATTAGTAATAGCTGCATTTGATATAACTAATCAGTTTACTGAGATTACACTGAGTCTGACCATTGGTACTTCCAACCTAGCATTACTAATATTTATTGCCTTTATATCCTGCTTTTTCCCTCTTGCGAAGGACACAAGGTGGCTTACATATGTCACTGTTTTATTTCCACAATAATAACTCTGTATGGTAGTTTAGAATGAGAGCGAGTAAATGACCCGAAGTTACCTAGAATCCTGGATCTCCTGGATCCCACTCAAACACCATGCTGCACTGGCTTATAGATGGGTTATGTGCTCCAAGTAGCAGTGGCCCCTAGGGACATTGACAAAGGTCTTCCTGTCATATGATGCTTTTAGTTAGACTTGATGTGAATTGAACCATGTAAATTATATGGTCCACACTGAGCTACATTTGCTTTCTTCTTCCCCAGGTCTGTACTTGAAATAAATGCAATAGACTTTGTGGGGTTTCCAGGTGAAACACCTGTTTTCCTAAAGCTATGGGTTTGATATAACAGGTTGTAAAGCACAGAAGAACGGACTTGCCTGTGCTGATTGAGGTGGAAAGTAGAGCTGTGTAACTTGCTTGGCAACAGAGAGCAGCATGCCTGTTTACTTGCTGAACACTTCCAGGAGAAGATAGGCTAGATGCCTGCCTGACTTGAGTTGCCTTGTTGTATGACTTTCCTAGACTTCATGGTTAAATGACTATGACATTATATTCTCAAATTATGTCACTGACATATGAATCATGGGAGTTCACTCCTGATTTGAACTGTTCAAGCAATGCCCTCAATCTCGCAAATATTTCTGGCTAAAAGCTGCACGATGTGGAGAAACTTCACATGATTGCTGGTATCCAGCTATGTATCCAGCTAATTTGCCCTTCCCTCTTTTCTAGAATTGGCCCAGCTCAGCATTTAATCCTGTCCTTTATTAAGTCAATATTGCACACTTAAAGTATTTATAAGAAATTCCTTGATCAGTGAGTGTCAGAATAGTAGGTTTATACTGGTTTATTAGTTTAGCTAATTGGACACCACAAAAAGCTTGGTCTGATTCCTTCAACAAATCAGTTTGTGAGAAATGTTGCATGTAGTGGCTGTCCTTTCTCTTGCTCAAAGTCAGAGTGAGCTGGCATAATTAAAGCTCACTTGGTTGCATTAGAAGAAGCATTAATAAAGGCCTTATTTCCCAAGATAGCTGCTGTTCTGTGTGCCTTGACAATATATTGTACTACCTAATTACAGTTGTTGCATATACAGAATTCTGCTTGCACTGTAAAGCCTAGCTAATTAAAATGGCACAATTAAGCAGGCAGTACTAAAATTCTTCTTGGAACAATACACTGAATCAAGTTGAACCCTGATATTTATGCATTTTGAACATCTTAGTTTGACACTGCTGTTGAAAGTCTTGTAACTAAGACAGCACGTGTATACAAAGCATACTGCTGATTTCAAAATGCTATCTAAAATTGCTAGGAAAACCAGCTTCCTGGAACAACAGTAATAGGTCTATTTTTAGCTGCTGATTCTAGCTGTTGGAAGCAACTTGCTTGATTAAATGGGATTCACTAGAGATACACAAAGTAAGCTGTAGGGAAGTGTGAGCGGCTTGGTGGTTAGGGCTTTATTGGCCTCACACCACAATGTAGGCCTTTCCCCTGGATAAGGTCTATAAATGTGGCAAAGATCACTTGTGCTACTTTTGACAGCTCAGAATGTGTCAACTCATGAAATGCCTCTGGCTTCCCAGTAAACTTTCCTTGACCTGTGACCTGTGTGTTTGATCACTGTGATGAACTGGCGATTCCTGTGATCATGAAGTTATGAATCCTCCTTTCTAGCCACGTGGAATACCATCTTGCAGTACCAGCTCCAGGATTTTGAGAGCCCTTGGGCAAGACTGCAAAGGACAAAGTTTACATTCTTACTGTTCTTGTCAATGGCTGATGCTGCTCCTTGCTCTCTATCAGTCAAAGAGCAAGGATGCACTGCTTCTCTTCCTTACTGCCTTCATTGTTCAGGCCAGAGTGAGAGGCAGGTAAATAAGGTTGACATGATGTTGAGGAGGAACAACTCTTGGCTTGGCAATGGATGTTGGTTGTGGTGTGGGCCCTTGTCCCACCTTATCTACCTTTGTCACTGGCCCTATCATCTAGGGAGCAGCCTCTGTGTGCTTTAAGCTATCTTTCAGTACAGTATAGGACCGTGCACGATAGCTCAACCAGATCTGTCAACTCACGCTTGGCACAGGAAATGTGATGATGAAAACAATTTGGTTTTGGAAAGGCTGAATATATTGCAGAACAACTTTTGCAAAAATTGAAATACCAACTCTTTGTACTCTGCCTATTGGCCCAAGATTTATACTGTCATGTTCACCTTGATCTAGTTTAGCAAACGACTGCATATGAAAGTTTAACCTTTAAAGATACCTGTTAGATATTTCATATTTCTCTCTAATTACACCTGTATTTTATGCTTTTATTTCTTGTAATTCACCCAAGGGACATTTGTTATCATGCAAACTAAAAATACATAATATGTTCAGTTAAAAATACTAGTGACAACATACATAGGTTTACAATAACTGTGTTCTGTGGTACCACAACTATCTGTATGTACTTATTGTATTTCTAAAGTGCCTTTCTCAAGTACTGAAGGGGCTTATATACAAGTAAAGGTGCACAGGTCTGTAGACCCAGTTAAATAGCATGGCATTAACAGTTTGTAATTCAAAGTCATAAGGTAGTCTCTGACTTGAATTAACAGTACAACCTTAAAATCTAAAATCTCTGCAGTGGCACCCCAGCTATGAGATGTGTTCTCTAGAGAGGTCTGCCTGGTGCCATCATTATATGCTTTTCAGCGCCAGGTCAAGACCTTTTTATTCACCCAATATTTTAATGTTAATAGATTTTAATTATTATAATTATTTTAATCTGTTTATTTTAATTTTATTTAAGATGCAGGATATCTAGTTTATTATTGTTTGGGTATGTATGTTTATATTTATCACTGTATTTATAGATTTTGCTGTGAGCTGTCCAGAGACAAAAGTAATTGGATGGGCTAGAAATATCCCAAATAAATAAATAAATAGGCTAGACACATGGCCTTAACTAGGATTGCAAGGAACCCAATCAATGTGGCTGTAACCCCTAGGTTTTTGCTTCCCCATATCATGGTTTTTATTGCAGGTAGTCTTTGATCATGTTACATTAACAAAATCATGTAAATTAACTTCTATCTAGTTGCAACCATCACTAGTCTGGTACCAACTCATGCATGTATTATAAAATATCAGCATAGCATTAGGTAAGAACTTCTGTTCCATTCTGCATGAAATATGCACTGATTCGTTACTTTCTGCTCCTTCTCATTTCAGGTTTCCTCAGTCTAGTGCTATTGAATCAGCAGAATGATCTGGATACTTCAGCTCTTGTTTTCACCACTCCCAACTCCTGCTTTGATAGGTCTTGTTACTTTTGGAACAACAGTCTTTCTGTGGCTGATAACCAAACCAAAACCAATTTCACCTCCTGTTGACTTGAATAAGCAGTCTGTTGGCACTGAGGTAAATGGAATAACAAATATTTCTTAAGCTGCCACTGGCAAATTAGTGTGTAGGTTCAGGTGCAGGAGTTCTGAGTGGATGTGCAAGATTAGATCTGATGCTAACTCCACTCTTGCCACTGATGGCCTTTTCGATCTTTTAGAGGGAGCTCAGACTTTCTCTAATGGAATCTGGAAAGGATGAGACCATTTCCAAATCAAGATGGTGTGAATGCCTTACCAACTTGTATAACTGCCTTTACCCTTTGCATTCTGTAAGATAATGTTTCTCATTCTCTAAGAGAATACTATAGATTGTAGCAGGTGAAAGTTTGAATTTTTCCTTTCTGTTTTGGACAAGAAAAACACTATCCACACAGCTACCAATTAACTTAAATTTCTGAATTTAGGGAGGAGCTAGAAGAAGTGTCCTTATGCCTGAAGGCAAACTTCTTTCTTACTACTATGATGATGCAAAGACTTTGTATGAAAGTTTCCGAAGAGGACGTTATGTATCAGGTAAGTGGCCAATGGGTTCTGAGAACTCCAGTACCCTGAATGTAGATGGTTGTAGCATATCTTTCTGCATGAACAGTGTTGTATTCCTTTCATTAGTGGCTTTTGTATCTGGGTCACACTTTAAAGGTGTGTGTGTCCTTACCTTCAAGTGACAGTTAATAAACCTGAATAGGAAATTGGTAACACAATGACACTGTGGCAAGGTTTATTTCCAGTTGCAGGAAGAAATTTATCTCTCCTTGTAATATGCATTTACTTTGTTATATTTCACTACTACCCAGGAGCTGAAGTTACCTGGGTGGTTCACAACAATTTTAAGACATAACACTGAGCATAAATTCACCATGAAAACTAAAAGTTTTAGGCTACAGTAAAAAAAATGGAGTAGAATACAGCATACCATTTTTCACGGGCCTTGATATAGTCAGCCCATTCTACCTGAAATGATGTAGAAAGGAAGTCTAGCCTTCTCTGGGTTTACAGTCTACTCAGATAGCTGTTTTAGATTTGGAATGGGAGGAGTATGAGAAGAAATTGCACGGGCCTTTGAATACTTATACAAACCATGCCAGATTATTCAAACAGATCATGGAAACCAAAACATCGTGGTGCAGGAGGGGAACAGTATAGAACAGGGAGGGAGAGATATCAAAGGAGAGTTTTTAGGCCCTATCGAGAAGCATCATGCCATGGACCGGTTAGGTATTATCCACCATTCCTGCTGACTAGCCCTCCAACTTTATGAGCCACCCTGAAAATGGAGTCAAATTCTTTCAAGGAAGGAAAGAAGGAAGGAGGAGAATGTTCTAGTTTGGATTCATCTTTTTATTTGGGGAAATGCTATTCCCATATATCAAAGGTTTTATTACTTTGACTTATGTGGGTTGCAAACCTGTAGAGCTCAATAAATGACAATGCTTCAAGGTTTTGTCTGTAGGAGAGAGAAGAGGAAGGAAACAGATGTTCTCCCAACAAATGTTTGCAACTTAGTGTACTGTTCCAAAGCTCTAACATAAATGCTCTTCTGGCTTAATATAGGCTCCATTATGATGTGGAAACAATGGTCTGCAATGGAAATATGGAGAGGCAAGAGGTTGGAGCTGATGTTTGGCCCAAACCATATAATGTGACAGATCAATGCTTTGGTCTCCTGACTGAAACAAAACACTTTAACATTGATACATTAGGCATTTAAACTATCTAAGGAAAACTACTATTTTCCTAATCTAAAGTGGACATGTATGTTCCCAGCTGCTAATTTTTCATATTTGGAAGTTTGGGCAAGGGGCAGAAACAAAGGTGCAACATCTTGTACCTTTACAACTTGCGATACGGATAGGAAATACATATTTTCCCAAACCCATACATATCAAATAGTTAATTTAGAGAAGTTGTTGTTGGGGGTCTGCAAGGCATAGCTCATAGCTTCACTGAGCTACGCAAGGCCCTTCACCACAACAAGGCAGTGATCCATGAAGGAGGAATCCCATGAATAGATCTTGGCCTGTGGCTACCTATCAATACTTTAGATGGTTAATTTTTATTCTGGTTTGACAATATTTCTAGTTTCATGTGAATTCCTATGTTATTGTTTGGGTTTACCTAGCAATAGACCATAACCAGCATTAAAACAAGCTGAATGCAGTTCCTTAAATGGAGATGCAACTTTACACAAAGTTATGAAAACGTTTTTAATCTAGAAAAGTCCTTTAGCTATCCAAAGTCCTGCTACTTAAATAGCTAAATGCTGTGTCTTACTTACCATGTATCTCTAATTCAGACTCATGCAGCAACCTTCAACTGGACCTCAATTTACCCATCTGGAAAACTCATAATATCAATTATTTTTGCAGAAAATGGACCTTGTTTAGGATACAGAAAACCAAAGCAATCCTATCAGTGGCTGTCTTACCAACAGGTTGGTTATAAAACAATAGTTTGAACAGATAGTGAAACCCCTTGCAGATAGAAACTAACTATTTTTTATCTTTCTAGGTGCTGGACAGAGCTGAATACTTGGGCTCGGGCCTCATACACAGAGGAAGTAAACCTTCACCAGATCAGTTCATTGGCATCTTTGCTCAGAATAGACCAGAGGTAACTTATGGAAACTAGTCCAGGGTCAGAGTTACAATAAGAACATGCAAGAAAACATTGTAATATTTGGGTACAGCTGAATAAAAGTTAATTATCTATTAGATTTATTTCCTGCTTTTCTTGCAACAAGTTCAAAGTGGCTTACATAATTCTGTCCCTTGTCTGCCAGTGTCATGTTCCTGTTGGTACCTGTCTAGTCAGTCCTGGGGGGAATAATCTGAGCAGCATTGGCATGCCACTGAACTAGCTAGAATTAATGTCCTGTACTAAAGATTTGCTAATGGAATTTCTTGTATGACTGCTTACACAATTGCTGCAGTTACTTTTGTTTAGTAGGTAACATCCAGTGGTCCTGTCCTGCTCATTTCAGTAGATGCTTCTGTGTGTAGTTCAGGCCAGATGCATGTAATTGAGGGCCTTGGAATTTACACAGTCAGGTCTTCTGTAAACAACAAATATCTGCAGTCCTGATAGTAGGATTTCTAACAAATGCCTGATGTTAAACATAGCATTTTTGTACCATTACATAGAATGCACAACCTGTTATCTTTGGATTAATTTTGAAAGCCCCCTACATGCAATTGTGGTCTTTCCTTTCTCTGGCAATTCACTGGTGGGAAGGAAGGGAAAGAGATAAAAGGGGAGATAACCCACTTACTGGCTTTGTAATATTGACATGTGGTCTCTGACGGACAACCCATGGAAGAATGCTGTCCTTGACAGAAAAAAGGTTGCCCACCTTGTATATAGTAGACCATGTTTTTCTATGTTTTGCCTCTTGCAGTGGATCATCTCTGAGCTTGCCTGTTATACTTATTCCATGGTTGCCGTTCCCCTTTATGACACTCTGGGTCCAGAAGCTATTGTGTATATTATTAATAAAGGTAAAGATTTTCTGTGAGAGACCTTGTTCTATTTTTCAGTTATGGTAGGAAAAAATCCATGTTTTGACAAGTGAGTACTTTAGAGACCCAGCACTTAGACCTCAGTTTGATGTTTGAGATGGACAGGCCTTCCAAAATTCTACTACTAACCTGGAAATGATCTAAGTTCTTCTTAAAAGAGTCAAAGAAATTTAGCTTGGAAAAATTTACCCCTTCTAAATCTGTGTAGGGTTTGGAAAAGTATTCTGCAAAAGCACCAGCTGAGAGTGAAAAACATTTTGTAGTCCTGAATGGGAGATTATTTCTCCTGTTTTCCCCCTTCTCTTGAATTTGGGATTTATTTGTGTGGAACAATGTTACTCTAGATAGGACTGAGTAAAGGGACTATGGCAGCTAAAGATTGATAATGACAACAAGGTTGTCAGCTCTTGGAATTCAAAAAGTCCTAAGTTTAACTTAAACTAGGACTGAAGCTTTTCCTATTGATCTTTATGAGAACAGAAACCATGAGGTTGAATCCTAACAGTAATGCTTACTGAGATTAATTCTACAAATAGATTTCTCTCTTGGGATAATATAATAATAATGGGCTTCCTATACTAGTCTGGACAAGTTGGATTCACACTTAATGGCATGGCACAACTTGCAGTTATAGTAGGTGAAACCCAAATTACAGAACCCCATGCAATGTTAGCCTGCTGGTCCTTGCTTAATTAAAGTTGCTTGGGGAAGAAGGGACTAAAAATTAGACGTAACAGAGGACAATGTCTAACTATCCTTGTTTGCTATTTCCCCTCAACAGCTCTTCTCCTTCAGGGAAAGAGGTGCTGGGAACCTTGAGGTTAAACTTGCTGAAAGACAAAACTATATCAGTTCATGGTGGCTGTATAAAGAGGTTAAAAGCCCTTGCCCTTCTGCAGTTTTTGTCACTCCTCTCAATGCAGCATTACAGTTCAGTGGACATTTGAATGCGGTGTGTTCAGCTATTGTGTGCTTAGAGGATTGCACAGCCATCTTGCCAGATATCAATACTGGTCAACATAACCAATTGTTAGGAATTATGCAGTCCAAGAATATTGGAAAGGTCACACATTTTCCATCCCTGATTTCAAGGCCAAGTATAAACCCTTTGCTCTTGATAATAATCTGAAGGACAATATCTGTTGGCTGTATCTGACTGCAATTGGCATGCATATTACTTCTGGCTCATGAAAGATGCATCCATGCAATTCACTCAACTTTCTAGCTTCTTAAATGGAAGCCATGTGAAATAATGTGTACATTTCAGGGGTATTTACAAAGTTAGCTTTTACACTGTTCCTCCATACAAATCTGTTGTGGGAGTTTAGGAGATGGCAATAATAGCACTAGTAGTAGTGCTGCATATTAAAATGCCAGCTAAATGTTTTGTCCATTTGGAGGAAATCAAGACTGGTGCTACATGTGTTTACTATGGATAGGAACAAGATGGAGCTTTTCACTTGTGTTCCTCCAGCTGACATCTCTACAGTGATCTGTGACAAACCCGACAAGGCACAGCTGATCCTTGAGAACTGTGAACAAGGGAAGACACCAGGATTGAAGACGATTGTTCTGATGGATCCTTTCGATGACAAATTGAAGGAGAGAGGAGATAGCAAAGGAGTTGAAATCATTTCATTACAAAACGTGGAGGTATGAGATCCCCTTGCTTCATGAATCTGCTTTTGAAAGCATGTGCACCTACAAGAAGAAACTTGCTCGGTGTGGAACTCAATTTGCTCAATTTCACTTGAAATAAAGAGCTGCTCATGCTAAACAGTATAAGTATCCCAGTCTACATGCCATTCAAAAAGACATTGAATGACTTCATTGGGTGGACTTAATTTAAAAGACATGACACAAAAGGAAAGGGTAGTGGGAAGGAAAAATGAAAAAGCAAATTCAGGCACTAGTCATACAAACACAGTCTCATATAAACATAGTTTCTAGGCCTTTTTCCAACATTCTCTCTCAAACTCATGGCAACCCTTTCATTTGGGCCTCTGTTGTGCCAAATAAAGAGCAGGCAGGTAAACAGATATGTTAATAGTTAGTACAACTATGGTATTAACAGTAAACTAGCTTTAACTTGTATTCAGAATGTCATGTCACACTTTTTGTTTCATTCACTTCAGAACATTTACTTGTTGAACATATTTCAGAAACCATCTCAACTTTTGTCCATCTCTAGCTTCGCTACTTAATCTTGTTTTCTTTTCTGTAACAGGTGCTAGGAAAAAACAACTTAAGTAGACCAGTTGTAAGTACTCATTCTTCAGTTTACTCAACAAACTATATCTATTTACCACCAAGTGCTGAATTGTTCACTTGGACACATTTGGATTCAAAGTGCTCTCTCATTTCAGCCTCCTAAACCAGAAGATCTTAGCATGGTCTGTTTCACCAGTGGTACAACAGGTAGGTAGCTTGCTACAAAGTTATAGATAAAATTATATAAAAATTGGCCACTTCTTTTTTTGAAGGAAAAGCCGCCACAGGGTCTCAATCCAGAATGTTACCCCAATATGGGTTTAGAGTGCTCTGGGGGATTTTTTCTCTTTGCCAGCAGTGTCACCACCTATAGGATTTCTTGTTCACAGCAATGCTTATTTTATGGCATCAGGGATTCCCTTTCACTATAACTTAGAGTTCCATAAAATGACATTTTGCATGGCCTCCACTTTTATGAGTATAATTTAAACCTCATCTCCTGGAATCTAGAGACAAGATGAATGATTAAATAAGAACTTGTCAAAGAGAGATTTTGTACATTAGGGAATACTAATACTTACCTTGTGGGTTTTCAAAGAATGTGGGACACAGTTTCTCAAAGCCTCTTGATAACTTCTAATTCAGGCTAAATTTCCTAAACTTCCACTCCAACCAGATACATTCACAATCAGGTCTAGCTCATTAGTACATTCTTCCTCCAATACGCAAAGTTGCTCCTGCTTCATTTGAGGCTGTTTGGACCATTTAATTTGGTTTAATGTCTGCCTCTGTAATCTAATTCTGGCACAATGTAACCACTTACTCCTGATCTTCTCTGGCCACAAATGATTATATGCCTAATAAGCAGGCCTTACATATTCACCAAAAATTTGTACATGGCATTTCTTCATAGGTCCCGTATCAGTTTCCCACAAAAAGCCCTCTGCAGTTTCTCACAAAAGGTGCTTTTTTAGGGTTAATTGAAGCTGGCGTGGTGGGCAAGGGATATGAAGTTCTTGTCATGGGGGTCTCAGTACAGATTAGGAAACTCATTCTGGAGCAGGGCTTCAGGTTGCTCTTTCTTCAAATATAAGCTGGCAGCTGGAGCATGCATTAGAAAGCACAAATAACTTTGTCTGTTGTTTAGCCCTTAGATGCCTAGTTTCTGAGAGGACATTCATTTGGCTGTATGTTTACAGGTAACCCTAAAGGAGCCTTGCTAACACATGAGGGTGTTGTTGCTAATGCTGCTGCGTTCATGAAGAGTATAGAAGTAAGTAGCTTTGGGCCAGTGCCAAGTGGATCATTGACTGTGTTTCCCCCTGATCAAAGTGTATGCTTTTCCGTACTTACACTTAGAAGTGCCATGGCTGCCTGTGACCTCCTTTACTAGAGGTAACATGCCTGCATACACCAGTTGCCGAGAAGGTTGCGCAGGAGAAGGTCTTGCAGCCATCCTGCTTGAGGGATGCTGTGGACAGCTGGGTTGCCACAGTGTATACAGAGTGCTGGACTAGATAGACCTTGGGTATGATCCGGCATGGCTTTTCTTATGTGTAACAAAGTGACACCATTGTGAAACCACCTGTATATTTCTTACAGATGACTACACCTTGTCTGCCATCAGATGTATCCATATCATATCTTCCTCTTGCTCACATGTTTGAGAGAGTAGTACAGGTAAATGCCTTACTAAGTTTGCTCCTATATATTGGATGCCTCTTGGGTCACCTCAACAGATTAAAATGCTTGCACGCCATCACCCTGCAGGAGAGTACCTGGCTATGCTTTGCAGCCATATGCTGGCTCTGCAAGGAAACCAAAGGATTTGGCAAAAGGATTGCATTGCTTCCTACTTAATGTGACCAAATGTAGCACACTGGGAATATTGTTTCAAAATGCATTGCAAGCAAGACTTTGATATGGGAATGAATCTCTGTTAGGTTCTTGCCTTATCTGACTTCTGTTTCCTTCTAGAAACACTCTAGAGTGGTCTGACACTCTCTAGAATAAAGGATTAGATGCAGTAAAATGCATCCTTTCACTATTTTCATGCTGCTACCTAGTCTGGGTTGTTACTGCAAGAGACATATTTTTTGGAGTGGGACAACTATGTTATACATTGAAGTTTGACTACCAGCAATCTGTCTTCATGTTCTTAGTAGTCCTGACACATCTAATGCCCATAATTGACATCACTTGGCAATAACTAACGGGCTATCATCTGGGCCGTCTTAATGGGCTTCTAAGGAGTTTAACATGTGTTTGCAAGGCCCTGTTCCTCAATATACTTCAGTATGCTGAAACTGTTTCTTGGTTGCCTTCCAGACTGTAATGTACAGCAATGGAGCAAAAGTAGGGTTTTTCCAAGGAGATATTAAACTTATAACGGATGATATGAAAACTTTGAAGCCAACAGTTTTTCCAGTGGTGCCAAGACTGCTCAACAGGGTATATGACAAAGTAAGACTCTGTCTTGATACAAAGCAGTTTTCACTTGTTTTCTGTTTGTCGCAACTATGATTGAATGTGCTATATTCATATGCAGTATTTTCTGTAAAGCACCTGTAATTCTACATTAGAATACTGTTCCTCTCAATTGCAAGTTCAGTAGAAAATGTAATGTAGCTTTCTGCTATAGCCAGTTTATTTACAGTTGAAAATTATACCTGTACACTGTCCTGGGTTGGATGCATAATGCCAGGGGTGTGGTGGGGAAGCAGAGACAGCTGTACGAATGGGTGACCTAAGTGCAGAACAGACTCTTGTGTATAGCCCACTGGATTTTCACATCAGCTTTGGTAAGATAATGGCTTAATCTCCTGTAGATACAAAGCAATGCCCAGACAACCTTCAAGAAGTTACTGCTAAACTTTGCCGTGGCCAGGAAGCATGCTGAAGTGAAGGAAGGCATTTTACGGAACACAAGCATTTGGGATAAGCTGGTGTTCAGGAAGGCTCAGGTAGGTATTCTTTATTGAGGTTTCCTCAAGGTCAACTAGTAACAGAAGAAACACTCTGTAAACCAGTGCGAGTAAAACTAAAGGGTGAGGGGTTACTCATGAGAGGAAAATGATGGGATATAAATGTAGTAATAACAATAACAAAACTGATGTTTTCTTCAATACTTTACAGGAAATAATGGGTGGGAAGGTGCGAATAGTAGTAACTGGAGCTGCCCCAATATCTTCATCTGTCCTAACATTTCTCAGAGCAGCCTTAGGATGTCAGGTAAGTGCAAAGGTCTCCTGTCTCCATGTCTAAAAGGAAGGGAGTTGGGTTTATAACCAGTGGCATTGTTGCTGGTTTTGCAAAAGACAGTAAAAAATATCACGTGGGTGACCGGAACTGATTGAGAGGGAAAGGAAGTTCTAGTTCTTCTGGATGGTTGCAAGACAAACTCAGCTACTGTCATGATGTACAGCATTTCTATGCCCCTTACTCAAAGGTCTGACAAATATTCTGAAGGTGGTGGTATTTGGTTTTGTTTTGTTCTTAACATCATGATAAAGGGCTTGAGATATTGTTGAACATTGTGGCCCAGTGCAAGAGCACAAACTGCTTTGTTTTTCCCTTCTGTGAATCAGTGAGGTTGACAAGATATGTCTTTCCTTCTCCTGTGAAATGCTCTGAGGTAGCTAGTGCAATATGTACTTGGTGATAGGCTGTATTTTGATGGGGTCTTGTGTCCACAAAATCACTACCCTCTTATGGTCATTGACTCTCCTCCTCCTCCTTCCCTCTTCTTTCTCCTGAACGCTTTTAGTATTGATGTGTACATACACACAACATGGCCCTTTGCAATCTAAAAGCAGGCTAGGGTGTGGTTAATGAACAGCTATGCACTTTGAGGCAGTAATCCTACTAGTCATGGTCTAGTAATGCCAATAATTAATTTGGTACATATCAGTAAAATCAGTATTGCTATGAGATGGGTTCTTGAGTCGCACACTGAACTTCCATGTAGCAGGTTCTAGGCTTGATCAGTCCTGCCTTCTCTGTGAGCACTGATGGTACTGGCTGAATGAAATATTTAATTTGATATGATGTATTTCCATATTCTTTCAAGATGAAGAGTTGCAGTTTTGTTCTTTAAACATCTTTGATAATATCAGATGTCCATGTGCTTCTAAAATACATTCCTTTAATGTTGTGATTAAGAGATATGGAGCAAAAGCCCTTACAGGATCAACATCCACCACCTATCATTTGATAGACTTATTACTAATAAGCATTAACCCCATGTCTTTTATGTTTATATTGAATGCTTATTTTGAGACATGAAATGCTTATGTTAGCATTAATATTTAAAAGGGAAGTAATGAATCCTTGGGACTGCAGGTGGTGCAGTGGTTTAAACCTCTGTGCTGCTGGGCTGGTTGATCAAAAGGTTGCCGGTTTGAATCTGTACAACGGGGTGAGTTCCTGTTGCTCTGTCTCAGCTCCTGCCAACCTTGCAGTTTGAAAGCATGCAAATGCAAGTAGATAAAAAGGTACCACTTTGGTGGGCAGGTAACAGCGTTCCGTGCACTTCGGTGCTTAGTCATGCCGGCCACATGACCATGGAGACTGTCTGCGGACAAATGCTGGCTCCTTGGGCTAGGAAACGGAGATGAGCACCGCCCCCTAGAGTCAGGCATGACTGGACTTAACGTCAAGGGGAAACCTTTACCTTTACCTTTTTTAATGAATTCTTCCTTCTCTCTTTTTTCTTTCATTTTATATATTAAGGAAAATGTAAATGATTATTGTGTATGATCCTCTGGATCCAGAGAGGACTTCTTAAGGAGTGGTCTCACCACTGCCTCTTTCAGGTTGTGGGATCACACCCACTTTCAAGAAGGCCTTAATCAAATCCCTAGCCCAGCCTGCTGTTCCCTCTCTGCTGATTTTTGTTAATCAAGAGGGGCAAGGATCTAGAACAGAGGTTCATATGTGAACCAGTCCAAGCACCATTTATTTATTTGATTCTTATGCCACCCCATTAGCCATAAAGCTCCCTGTCAGCATTCTCGAGCTGAAGCAACTGAATTTCATCCAGTGTTGTTTTTTAGTTTTCCTACCCATGGAGAGGTTGGTAAAAATTCAGTTTGCATTTTAATGTTAAGGTATCTAATGCTGGACTTTCAGTGTGTGAACCAAAGCTTGATTATTCTTTGAAATTAATACTTCTATGAATGTTCCAAAGATTCAGAAGTTGATAATGCAATTCAAGGTTGCATACTAAAATGCTATATTAGAAATAACATTAAGAACACATATTAGGAATTTTGCTTGCATTGAATGCATTTATTAAGGAAAAATGTATATAAAATTTCTATTAGGACAAATGTGTATAAAAATTAGTACAAATTTTCATGCATACTGAAAACACATCTCTTGGTCCAGAACAAACTGAATTTAATAGGTAAAAACAGGGAACTGAAATTAACAGAGTTGTCTGTTCCATTAATGGATTTGTCCATTCCTAGAGATGAATTAATATAATTTCTCAGCCTTTGGTGGAGTTCTGGGCTAAGCGAACAGAAGTGTAAAAAATGCTTTCTTCAGAATTCAAGTTCACTGATAATATATATTAAGGTTTTTCATGAGTTATCCTCTTTTGTACTTTAGTCTCCACTTTTGACAGCTGTGTTAGGTCCAGATGGATTGCTTTGGTGTATTTTGCTACTCCCATAGTGGAAGAAGCTTGTGTAAAATGCATGTTGTCATGGCATGCACCAAATCAGAATCTGGTAACAAAACTGCCATTGGATCTCATGGGATACAGCAAATATGACATTTGTTTTTCCAATCAGATCTTTGAAGCATATGGTCAGACAGAATGCACAGCTGGCTGTACCTTTTCATTACCAGGAGACTGGGAAACAGGTATGGTTTATTGCAACTATAGATGAAGTCTACAATGTGGGTGTCTGTCTTGGGTGAGGCATATCATATGGGGAAAGAAATTTCAGTTGCACTATCTTTTGAGTGTGGGTGGAAACAGCTTCTTATGGAGCACCCTAATTCTTTTAACTTCTATATTTCTGTTCTTGTCATCTAAATATTGTGAATTCTACAATAGCAGCAAGCTCCACTTTTTCCTATCTTGAAATTGTAACTAATTCTTCCTTTTTTAAAAAAAAAAAACTTGGTTTCTAGATCTGCTTACACAGACTGCTTTTCTGTTGAGGGAGTGAGTGTTAGAACTTGCACCATGATGTTGCATATACATCTATGTTGGCCTCCAGATGTTTTGGTAAAAGCTCATCTACTCCAGCTAGCAAAAATGAGGAGTTGAGGATGAGCTGAGGATGATGGGAATTGTACTGCAGTATATCTGGAAGCTACCTGGTTGGGGGAGGTTGCTGTAGATTATAGGTGATGAGAAGAACCCTTTAAATATGAAGGCAGATTAAAGGGTGTTTCAAGGTGCAGGAAGTAATGGGTTGACTTGAAATTTGTCACTCTTGTGCTTAAATGGAGAGCCAGTATAGTGTAGTGGTTAAGAGCACAGGACTGGGACTTAGGCAAGTCACTGTTTGGCCATGGAGCCAGTCACAGTCTCTCAGCTCAACCTACCTCACAGGGTTGTTGTGCAGATAAGACTGAAAGTAAGAGGAGAATTATGGAAGCCACTTTGTTGCAAGAAAAAAGGTATGATATAAATCTAATAAATATGTTTCCTACCTTGCAGAATCAATTCTGTTGAACTGTCTAGGCAGGGTAACAAGAACTGCTGTAAGAAAAAACTAAATTTGAGTGGGTGTTCTTCTGCAGGTCATGTTGGACCACCTCTAGCCTGCAACATTGTAAAACTTGAAGATGTCGCTGAAATGAACTACTTTGCATCAAATAATGAAGGAGAGGTAAATATCCTATTTTTGATGAAGCATTCTTTGATCTGATACCTGGAAGTAGAAGGGGACTAACACCAATTCTGTGTGCCTTCTATAGATTTGTGTTAAAGGGCCAAATGTATTCAAGGGTTACCTGAAGGATCCTGAAAAAACTGCAGAGGCTCTTGATAAGGATGGGTGGCTTCATACTGGAGATATTGGAAAATGGATGCCGGTAAGTTGTGGTCACTGAATGTTGATCTGTAGCTGGCTGAATGAAATGTCACATAAATGAGTTGTCTGAAAGTGCTGAAAGACTCCGGATTTGTAGAAGTCATTCCCTTGCAAAGAAGAGGAAGGGGGCAGCCCTTCAAATAACTGGTGTTAAGGCATTTAAGGCTTGCTTGATAGGTAATCAGGAGCAGTTTAACTTAGGATCCCAGCTGGCAACCAGGACAGCTGGCAGGGAATCAGTGTTATGTGCTGTGACCACATGGCACCGTCAAGCAACCAGCACTACGTTCTGCATCAGCTAAAATGTCTACGCTTTCTTTAAAGAAGTTGTCTGCAGAGTGCATTACAGTATCTAATCTGCATCAGTATGGAAGACTATATCCAAGTCCACTTTATCTTGCTAGAAAAATAAATGGTGACACCTCCAGTTACTAAGCCACCTGTGTTTTCATAGAGTGTTCCAAGTCTGGGAGAACCAGCAGGTCACACTTACGCCAAGCCTACACACTGCACATCTACTTAGTAGATTACTTACATGGAATTGCTAAGAAATCACAGTGCTTACTTTCAAATGTACATAGAAAAGCACATTGAACAAAGGGACTTTGGTGAAAAGACCTTTTGAGCAAAGCTGGCTACCTTACTCTAAGGCCTTAATATACTACTATTGTGAGCACAGCTTACTGTTACAGTGATGAGGACACAGCCACATGTTCTCCAGATCCTTATTATGGAAAGCAAAGCTGGCATATTGTAATCATAGAGCCCATCTTGAAGATGATAATATCTGTTAATGACCTGAAATGTTAGAAGGGCCTTCCATAGCACATGCTGGACTGATGCATGAACTGTTTGCCCGAAACATCAATTTCTATTGCATTCCTAAGGGAGCAGCCTGTTTTGTTTGGCACTCTCCCAATACTGGAGAAAAACGGCTTTGTTCTGAATGGCTTAAAAACCAGTAAGTGAATAATGGGATATTGAAATTCACAAACAGCACCACAGTTTACAGTGCTAGATTTGCTGAACATTGACAGTACTATGCCATCCTTATAACTGGCTCCTACTTAGTGCCACAGTACAAGGCCATGTGCTTTTGGAAATAGATTCATCCTGACCTTGAATTCAGAAAAACACAGCAAAAGAATGGAAAACTATCCTCTTAAAAAAAATTACTTTAGGTTGCCTTTTCGGGTAGAACCTCTCAAGGCAGCAAGACAAGATAAAACAATGGAAGAATTCAAATTCACAACAAATATACTGCTTTATAGTATTTTATTCTATAAAAACAGATTGCACCAATAAAAACTGCAGCCCACAGATTAGAGAGAGGCCAGTGAAAGTTTTCATAAAACTTAATTTGTTTTTTTGGCAGAATGGAACATTGAAGATCATTGACAGAAAAAAGAACATTTTCAAGCTAGCTCAAGGAGAATATATTGCACCTGAGAAGATTGAAAACATCTACATCAGGAGTCTTCCTGTAGCACAGATCTTTGTGCATGGGGATAGCCTACAGGTACCTTTGTTCCTTTTTAGAGTTCTTCTAATCACAGCGCTGACATCTGCTCTGTGGCTAGATGAGCCAGCTGAATGGTCAACTTGGGGCATGCTTATGTGGCAGGGTAACCCCAAGGATTCATGTTGTAAGCCGCCCCGAGGCCTTGGCAAGGGGCGGCATAGAAATGTTTTAATAAATAAATAAATAAATAAATAAATAAATAAATAAATAAATAAATAAAGTGAGGGCCTAAGGAACAGTATGCTTATGAAGGTATACTTTGCCCACCATGAGCCAACGCCATATTGTTGGGACCAAAGATTTGGCGTGCTTTAAATGAGAATCTTTGGAAATAGGGAAGAATGTTTTCCCCACTTCCCTTAAGCTTCCTGAAGTCTGAATGTTCTTCTGTTTGCCTCACCAGTCTTTCCTTGTGGGAGTGGTGGTTCCTGATGCTGAAACCCTTCCAGAGTTTTCTGCAAAGTTGGGAATTAAAGGTTCATATGAAGAACTCTGTTCAAATGCAGTAAGTGCCACCCTTCTTAAAAGTCCGGTCCATTAAACTGTGATAGAAATCTGTGGTACTGGATTAAGTTAGACCTTGAAATTCAATAATATGAAGGCTGGAATTATTGTATAATATATAAAAAAAATCGGTGTATTAAAAAAAAAATCTTGATTGTTTGACTTGGAAGCCCAATTGCCAATGACTTCCACTGGAAACAAGGTACTTGGGAGCTGGAGAGTTTGTTTTAATGCTTCAAGTAGTTACTTGATATTAGACTAGAATTATTTATGTGTATGAGCATGCGTTCAGTTCAGCTTGCCAAACTAGATCGAGGCAGGAATACTTTAAACAAGCTGGGAGAAAAATTGATAAGCAATTATTCAGTAATTCTCAACTGAGATTTGAGTTGGCATAGCCTAGGTTGGCATAGTGGGTGAAGTGAAAGGAAGGAGTAGCTATCAGGAGTGCTTGCGGCATTGTTAAAGTTTAGGCAGGTATCTTAGCTGCATTCTTTCTATTTCTTGACATGTATTTTACATGCGGTAAATTACCTTAAGTGGAAAGGAATGTTAATAAATTTGACCTTTTGTAAGGTTTCAGAGTGACTCAACTGAATATTAGGCACTGGGGAAAATGCAATATTAAGCAATGTCTTGCTCTGGCAATTAATGAACTTGGTGGTAGTGGAGAGGTGTGGTATTAGTCTACATAATCCTTGAAAGGTCACAGCTGTTTTAAAGATGCATTTAATAAAATTCCTTGGAGTGACTCCTAGAACAGGATGAGCAACTTCTGTCCCTTAGTTGCTTTGGATTAGAATTCCCATTGTTCCTCATCACTGGAGGGCTATTCACGCCTCACTCCTGGAGTAATAGGATTTTTATAGCAGAGCATATATGAATTAACTGCTTAGGTTAAGATACAAAATGGAAATGGGGGAAAAAGCAGTGGCCAAAGAGGCTCTGTTATAATACTGAGATGCAGTGGTGACACATTCCCTAATGTGAATCTTAGCTTGGCGTAGTTCCACTTGTTGCTGTGCTGTATTAGACAGGTTATTAACCGGCCTAGTCATTGACTTTATTGCACAGGATCCTGATTCCTCAGCATCCTTTACAGCTCTAAATCTCCAATACAGATTCTCAATTCTGCAGTGCTTTCTGCTTCAGGGAGCATTATACTTCCTAAGCATCAAAAAGGATAAAATGCTACTGATAAAATTACATTTTGCTTCCAGGCAGTGAAAAAGGCTATCTTGATGGACATGGTGAAGCTGGGGAAAGAAGGTGGCCTTAAGTCTTTTGAACAAGTAAGTAGCTATTCATCCTGGAATTTGCTCGAGGCTACTACTGTTAAATGGCTTCAAATAGAATGAGCATTACTGCAAAATGCAACAGATTGGACATAGATATCTGAAACTCCACTCGTGTTAGAAGGAGTCTTGAATGCCTCATTTTGATTTGATTTGGCTCCCAAAATGCTTCATTAGTTACAGTGGTTGGACTCTGGTGATCCTAGAACACATGGTTCAGATTTCCATCTCAGACCCTGACTTTGTCAAGTCCAGAACTGTGCTTGATTATTCACAGATCAGTAGTGGTAATCTAGACTGTTATCTGGAGTTGTTGGAATGGAGAGTTAACCACAAATACTTCTCTCTGTACTGTGGCAAATGGTCCCAGGACTTGTCTCCTAATCCGGGAGCCCTCCTTAAGAGACATCAGGAAGCAAAGTACCCGGAGGAGGGCTTTCTCTGCGGTGGCACCCCATCTGTGGAATGCGCTCCCCAGAGAGGTCCACCTGGCGCTGCTGTTGTTTTTCGATGCCAGACTTAAGACCTTTTTATTCAAACAACATTTTAACAATGTTTAATATTTATTGGGTTTTAATTGTGCAGCCAGGGTGTTTCTGGGTTTTTAAATGTATTTGTATGATATTTATTTATTTCTGTGAGCCGTCCCGAGGCTATATAGCAAGGGGACGGCATACAAAAACTATAAATAAATAAATAAATAAATAAATAAATAAATAAATAAATAAATAAATAAATGTCTTTCTTCAAAATGGCTGAGATGAACACAGTGTTGTGCTGTACAAAAAACGACTTAAGTGACGCCTCTAGCTCCTGTAATGTAAGAAGGAAGCAGGAAAGCCTTTTTGCAGGAACACTGCTCTTGACAACTTGCATATCCAAGTAAACCAGACAGACAAATTTCATTAAGACAAAATATTTTCTTCACAACCAGGTGAAAGACATCTACCTTCATCCAGAGTTATTCACAGTTGAAAATGGACTCTTGACACCAACACTAAAGGCAAAGAGAGCAGATGTATCCAAATACTTCAGGAGCCAAATTGAGGCCCTCTATGCTTCTAATATGTAAACAGAACAAAGGTTACCTCAGCTAAATGTGTTTACAAAGGACCATGAAAGCATATTGCAGGCACTGGATAGTTGACTAATGAACACCCTGAATAAGACAACTTAAGTGTCCTGTTCTAAGAAAAACTTGGTTGGCCAAGGTAGAACCTGTTTGCAGTGCATCTTGTGTATATGCGAAAATGGCTCACATATTCAGGTGGAATTTGCCAACTTGTATTGTTTGAAAGAACTAGGGAAGTTTTGTGACTTCACAACATTGTCCAACCTAAATGGAAATGGAAAGGCCTTGATGGTTTGAATAGATGAACATAGGATTGCTGTTCTTGAGGATGAAATACTTTCTCGTGCAGTTATCTAATTCTTAAAGATTGTGATGTGTAAAGAGACCATAATGTAATTGTACTAACCTGATGGAGCTAGTACGATTAAACACTAACTTAAGCTGATCCCTGCTCAACAGATGTACCTGTAATATATTATGATAGGGGCCTGTAATATATTGTGATATGCTTAATTTGTACAGACATACAGACCTAGAATACATAATACCTCTGAGCAAAGCCATGCATTTCATCTTTCTATAATGGGCACTCAAATATAATAGTATCAAATGTACATATATTTTTTTAAGTCAGAATATCCAGATTCTGCTAAGGCACATGCTGATTGTATTTCTGCTGGCTGAAATGTTGAATGTGAAAAATAAAGATAAAATGGCACTTTCTGAAATATCATCTTCTGTTTTGAATACATTGGCTAGCTAGAGCATCTGTCATATCATTCATAATACACCTATTAGTTTGGGGCAGATACTTAAAACATGTAACTTGACCATAACCAAAGATTTTATGTATTTAGCAATGTTCACACTGTATAGCAGAACATGGATTTTAAAAGACTGTTCTAGACATCATCAGTTGCATTCATACCTTAGGTTGTGGTATGTGCTCTTACACTCTACCCTCAGAATTCCATGACAGTCAGGTTTCATTTCCCAATGAAACATTTCATCTGTTCAAAATGTTAACCTTTTTTTAGTCAAATAGGCAATGAGCTGAGGTTCTCCCTAGATTACCAAGGCCAGCAGTGTTATGTTAGCAGACATCTGCTAACACCCCCCCTTTTTTTTTTTTTTTTGTCTTCACCCATGCACTTTTCTGTACTATCCAAAAGTCTGTGTTGAAGGACTACCCAGTTCTGTGGAATAGATATTGAGTGAACATGGAGAAAGAAGGTAAATTGCCCCCCTCCTCATTCTGTTGACATAATTCTAGTGTTCCACTCTATCTACAGATTTAGCTACATTTTTCTATCAAGTAATGGAAACTGAGGTTAGATATCATGTTGGGTCTGGTTACAGATGCAGCAGCCTTAGCCCCACAGAACCAGCTCTAAAAGTGAAGAAGTCTTTTCAAGGGAAAAGGATTTCAGAAGCAGGATTTGATGACTATGATAACTTCAATCTATTAACAGCAAAGCTAGCTCCTGGACAAAACCTTTTATGATCTCCCAGCAACTGCCAATTAGCCATTCCTGTGAAGTTCACTAGTAGAATGTTTAACATGTCCCCAAGCTTCACCTGTGCACTAGAGAACTGGAGAATGGCCAGTGTAGCACCAACTTTAAAAAGGAATCTGGAAAATTATAAGCTTTATGTCTGTTGTGGGTAAATTGACTTGAAAGCATGATTAAAGATAAAATCAGTAAGTACACAGACAAGTGCTATTGAGAGAGTGAGCATGGCTTCAACAATATGTCCTATCTTATTAACTTTTCAGTGTTCCTGGAGACTCTCAGTAAGAATGTGTTTACAGTACTTGGATTTTCTAAGAGCTTTTATGACAAAATTCCTCATCAAAGTCTTCTGAGTAAACTTACTAGCCATAGAATAAAACAGGGGAGAATAGCAAATAACAGAAAGCAGAGGGCATGTATACAAAGTCAAGTAAACTCTCCTGGTGAAGAGCTGTACATAATGGAATCCCATAGGGATCCATATTGGGACATTTAGGAACAAATTGAAGCATGCTGGTTGCAATATTCTTGAGCCCAGCGAACATTTATTCCTTCTCTTTGCTTTCTGTGCTTAAACAGTTACCAATTCGTAACAGGATCCTTATCCCATGAATGCCCAATCTGCTTAGGAGTCACTGGTAAATGACTTTATCAAAAGGCTTTTGAAAGTTCAAGTCCATTATTCCTCCCAAGGCTCAAGAGGCCCTAACAAGTCTTACCTTCCTTTCTTCCTCCTAAATCCCATTTTGTGGGGATATGTATCCTTACGTGATGTATGATGGAGTCAAAAATCTTAGAAACATCAGTCTAACAATGTACACATTCATTTTAATTTTTACTGATACTGCAGCCCCTCCATGCTTTTAGTATTGTATTTTAATTTAATGCCACTGTGGGAAGGTAAGATGGGAGGGCATCTAACAAATTTACTAAACAGTTAAATAATGTTATGTGGCATAGAAGAAATAAGTGGTCAGCACAATCCAGACTCAAGAAGGCCACAGAACTTTTCAGAGTCCTAAATCTGACCTTGTTTCAAGACTCTGAACTTGGCACATCAAGCTGGCTGTGGCTCAGAGCTTTAAAAAACAACCTCGGAGAGAAAATTTGGAGGTGGGAAGGAGAGAGACAGGCTCTGCCAGCATATCAAGTATCCTGGCAGCTCCTTCCTGCCTGCTTCAAGGGTATTGCATGGTGGAAGGAATGTGGAAGTAACCGTCACCCCTGGGTTCCTCCTGCCAGTTCAGTGGAATATAGGCTGCTTCACTGGATTGTGCCCTTAAACAGTTATATGTTTATAATTAATTTAGCAGAAGGAAGAGAATGTTCTAGGACTCGCTTAACTTCTTCACAAAAAAAAATGTCCAAATGTTCTTTTCAACATGCAACTTATGAAAGGCTATTATGATATCCCTGTATAAATGCCTGAAAGGCTGTCACAAAGAGGAAGGTCAAAATCACTTCTCAGTGTTACCAGAGTGTAGGACAGAGAATAACCAATTCAAGCTGTGACAACCAAGATTCAGACTAGATATCAGAAAAAGCTTCCTCACTGTCAGGGCCATACGACAATGGAACCAGCTGCCTAAAGAGGTGCTGGGCTCTCTCACACTAGAGACATTCACAAAGAAACTGGACAGCCATCTGAATGGGATGGTGCAAATTGCAACAGCAGGCGTTTGGACTTGATGGTCTTCATGGCCCCTTCCATGTCTACTATTCTATGATTCTATGCATTATCCTATTTCGCCTATATACATTTGCTTGGAAGAAAACAGCACTGAAACCAATAGTACTTGCTTCTGAATGACTATGAACAGAACAGAAATAACTTTTGGAAACTTGCAACACATAATACTGCAACTTTCTTCCCATAAAACTTTACTGTAGTCTTTAGCAATTCAGCAGTTTGTGCCTCTTTAGAAATATACCATAGAATATGCACATAATACATTTGGTTATTTATTTGTAACTCTCAACAAAAAAATCACATGATTTAAAATAATAATCCCAGGTATCAAAACATATTTGATATACATTTGATATACCAGGTATTTCAAATCCCAGGAATGCAAATCTGTATCTGCATTCATTCCAAAGTCTCTTACAGCTTCTGAGCTAAGGGTGAAAGGACAAATTGAGGAATGTAGCAATAACAGATCAGAAAAGTAGATTACTTAAACATACAAATATTTTCAAATGAACAATATTAGAAATCAAGGAAGGTAACATTTTTTTTTAAATTATGAAGGTTTAATATCAAAAGGCATTGATGGAATGGCTTCCTCCATTTTAAGAATGGGAAAAAGTATTTAAAGTTATGGCACTGGGGCACCCATCCAGGCTAACACAATAAAACACTCTTTGCTCAATGTGTAAGTCTACAGTAATATACAGAACTTTTCAAGTAGAAGGACAGTAGTCCAACAGAATCATTTCCATTTACTAAAGCAAAGGAAGAGAAAAGGCTATCTTGTCTTTTTTTCTCCATCCAATGACTGGTTTGTTTCAGAATCATAGAGGCATTTCTCCACACACCTCCTTGGGAACCAGCCTCTAATTCTGTTCCCATCTAGCAAGGAAAGAAAAGGACACAAGTTAGTTGTGGAACACTGCAGCATTTGTTAGCAATCTCTTCTGTCCCCTCACGCCCCTCTCCGCATAATAGATATTCATACTATCAAAGAATATGCCCTTTTCTTTTCATACTATAATCTATCAGAAAGATCAAACAATCTCTAACCAAAGTGCTAGAACACCTTACTAGTTTGTAGTTAATATTCTGGTGAAATCTGGGATAGATTTGGTAAGTGTCAAGTCATGGTTGGCAAACGTGTTGAACTTGTTTTTGGACAACACAGGATTCCAGCATTCATTTTTCTGCATATTTCATACAAATACTGTTTTCAAACTGTTCTTAGGTGATTTTGTAGTGCTTAAGGTTTAAGGCTTACTAAGGGTCTTGGCTCATTAGGATGCCTGAGTGTGCCTATCAGACCGCCTCATAATTTTTCAACAAACAAGAAATTACCATCAGCTGCCGATTCGATAATTTTATCTCCATACATCCAGTGCCTGAAAAGATAAGGAATAAATGAATCAGATGCAACAGTTTTCCTTGGAATTTTTTAAAAAAGAAACAAAAACATAAGAATGCTAACTTCAATCCTCTGGTGGCCAAAATCTGATCTCCTTTATGAAGTACAATTCTAGGTTCTTCAGAGCAAGGAGTTGTGAATAAAGTCCTCAAGCCTTTAGTAACAGGGCAGCAGGCGCCACTATAGTCTTCTATTGCTTGGTACCGCACCTGGGAAGATTTTGAGAAATGGTAATAAAAATCTATTACCTGATGCTCTTTCCAGTTTACAAACAGCATGTTCCAAACTTGGCTTCCATGACCGAACAGAGACATTCGACAGGTTACTCAAATGTTATTTGTGACCCAACCAGAAAACCTTAGGATCCTGCATTCTTCATCCTGGTGCCCACTCTCTATATATATTGGCTGTTGTAGCTAGAGATGATGGGAAAGGTACACCAACACATATGTAGAACAGTAGGCTGGGAAAGGGTGATCTAAACAAACCTGCACTTCTAATTCGTGACCTTCAACCTTTCTTAGATTAAATGACAGCACAGGGCCTACTTTATTTTATAATATGTTTACATTTACAGTATGTTGGAACTGAAGAACTGCAAGCAGACTTTTAGACATGTAATAGTGCTTTCCAGCCTCTTCCCACTGGCTGCAGTTCCCTATGCTCCACCTTGACAGGTCACCCTTGGGGTCAGGAGATGTCTAGGAATGGCATGGCACAAGCTGCAGGGATGATGAGCTGAAAGCAGAAATCCACTGAAATGGAATACCTCCCATTATACAAGTAGAAGCACCTTCTGTTCTCACAAGCAGACTTTAGGATTTAGCCTGCCATTGAGACTTGACCCTCCCTTTCTTCTATTCTGTCCATCTTTCTTCTTGTCTCCATGACAACCACTCCCCGACTCTGGAAGACATTTCTAATGTTGCAGGTGTGACTCACTGGAGGCTTGGTCACAACCCACCAACTGGAACACCAATGCTTATTTATACTATAATGGGACAGTCATTACTTTATATCAGGTGTTTTTCCACAAGGCAGCCACAAGGACTTCCAAGGGTGCCTGTGAAGTTATTCACTTCCTGTAATATTAGACATGATATTACTTTGAATTTTAAAACATTAGAAATGTTAGGGCACTCAGTTCTCTTTCCTGTTCCTGAACCTATTAATCTTCAGCTGTGAAGAGGCAGAAACAGAAGGAAAGAGTCGCTTCCTTGTCCACCCATGTCTTCCATTCACACATCCCTTTCCCCTTTGCTATCCACTCCCAGCATCTCACCTTATTGCATTCTCCCACTGCACCTCTTTCACGTGCTCTTTCTCTTCCCTCCTAGTCCAGCCTTGCTCTGTCTTCCCATTCTACTTCTTCAGCTTTGATATTTCCTTTCTCCTCCCAGCTTCAAGCCTCACTGTTTTTCCCTCACCTCTTTACCTTACTGTTTCTTCCCTGTCCTTGCTTTATCTTTTGGTATTTCCCCCTCCTTCCCGCTGCCTAGCCTAGTGTGCTCTCTTTCACCTTCGGTCCTTTATGTCACACAGAGTGGCTGAGTCTTGGAGGAAAAATGTTTTCTGGCCTTTCAGGGGGGCATTTTCGTTTTAGCCTATTTCTAGGCCTGCACAGAGCTAATTTCCACAGATTTATAGGTAAGCATGCATAGGACTGCAACCTTAAATGAGCATTTTCTTATGCTTCTGTGGCCTCAGATATGTAGATTGGCTTTGGCATTCAAATTTCTGCTTGGGTCGTACTCAGTTCCTTGGGTGAATTACTTGATTTTTGACTAGTCAGGCCCCTGTAGCAGCCATTGTGTGACTAGCCATGCATGTCTGGGAGCCATTTTGTGGTGATTTCTGCAGCAGTTCCTCTAATTCCTTAATGAGCTGACAGGTCCAAAAAGGTTGGGGAACTTGACTTTATACTATAATTGACACACGTAATGCATCAGTGTTTTGCCAACAAGCAAAGTAACTTTGAAACCCAAGCCCTCACATAAAAGGATAGATAACAAATAACTGTAAATCCAGAGAGATGTAAGAGTTTAGAGTGTTACGAAGTGTGGATGTACTTACGCTTCTCACTCTCTTGTCAGCCTTTTGTTTCAATTGCTCTATCTGCAAAAGATTATGCATGGGAGAATTAAAGGTACTTCACTGGAGTGCTGTTTTTCAGTTTTCAATATATCCATGTTTCTTCCATGGTGTACAGGTGTGGGGAGAGAGGCAGGTAGAGCCTACCGTCAAACTGTACTGATGGCAGCCTTCCCTCAAAGGCCACTCCAAGCCATCTCCCTCTGGGTTTCCAGACCAGGTGAACACTTGCTTGAAGTTACGCCACTTACTTCCCAGGTCATAAGGAAAAATGAAGGTTTCATTTGTTTCATAATATTGGATCCGATCTTTGGCCTGCAAGGGATGCACACAAATACAGTTTGCAAGAGGAAAGTTCTGGTAGGGAGTAGTAATTGGTGCCTGGATACCAGTCAGTAACCGCATGTCATTCTCAATGAAGAAAAAAGAAACAGAATTCAAAGAAAGAAGTCTAAATTGTGCATGTCGACCAGGGGAAAACAAAGCCAGCACTCCATGCCATGTACTTTGAGATGAAGGGATCTAAGGGAAAGCAATGCCCAATTACAATCTGTACAGACCTCAGGTGCTGGTTATGACTTTGTATACGACTTATTCCTCCGTAAGTGCCTGTTTTATGGTCTTTAGAGAAGGTCCTTCTCTTGTTCCTGCAAACATCAGCAGGATATTTGGTGGGGAGCTAAGAGGTGGCTTTCTTAGTAGCCACTCCCAAGCTCTAGAACTCCTTGCCAACAGAGGCTAGGATGGCCATTCCCTCTGTTGTCCTTCTGCCAGCAGGCCAGTATGTTTTTAGTCAGGCAGGTTTTTGTCAGGTGAGATGATCTGTTACTGAAGGTGTGTAGGCTATTTGGTTGGGTGCCGTTAGTTTCTTTTACTGCACTTTTGTTTTTGGTTTAAGTTAAATTTTAATTAAGCATTTGTTTTTAATTGGTATTTGCAGCCATTCTGAGTGCCAGGTTTTGGTGGGAAGGCAAGATATGAAAGAAATGTTAAATAAGAGGCAGGATGGGTTAGATAACTGGTTATTAGGCAATTAAAAAGTATTTTAGTTACTTTTAGGGGCTACATCCACATCACATGGTGTATTTCTCCTAGGTGCTTCTATTTAAATATCAGTTTGGTTCTTCCTCCTTTTCATCCTCTTCTTTATTAACTCATGCAGCTTATTGCACCATATCCTTCATTAAATGTGTACATTTTGAACACACATTGTACTGCCTCTTCAAATAGGAATGAACCTTTAATTTTGTTGTGTTACACTGACCTCTACTGTTGCAGTTACAGTAGTTGCTAAAGCCCTAGTTCAGTTTCTAGAGCTGCTTCTCACAATTACCATCTACATACGCAGCAGAAAGACCGCTTGTGCATGGGAGTGGTCAACTCACTTCAGTGGTGCGAGCAGCTGTACCTTCACATGTAAAGGTCTGGAGAGAGCAGGCGAGCCCTCACCAATAACGTGCTGAAGAGCGTGCATAAGAACCATTGGATTTGGCTAACCATGCTTAACTTACACTCTCCTGCAGTCTATTCCTCCTTTGTCTAAAAAAATCTAACACAAACAGAGCTTAATGTACACCTAAGAAGGATGTGAGAAGGATGTGGGGTTTGCTCCATGAAAATGGAATGCCAAATTAGAATCTGTGGAATTCCCAGAAAAGGAGAGGCAAATCTAAACCTTCTACATTTAATGTATGCATTTTGACAGCTAAATCTAAACATATTTAGTAGTAGATGTGGTTTGGGTGCACCTTTTCATGCAAAAAGGCCTTTAGCATATATTCAAAAACACTAAAGGTTCCCTATTTATGAAGGGCAGTTACCAATTCTCAAAGATTAAAAGGAAATTTTATCAAAGGAACAACAAATTAAATACGGAGAGACTATTTAGTGGATATGTTTGAAAGTTCTATTAGACTGCTTTATGTGATAAGATTTATCAGCTTTTATATTATTATATTTTTTTAGCTGTTGTCCTCATTCACATGCAATGGGAAGTAAGAATCTAGTTATATGGAAAATCTCTGTAAACTCAAGTGTCTCTTTCCTTCCTTCCTGTGCCACTTGAAGAAGGAATTAACTAGCATTAAGCAACGAAGAGTTTGTAGGAGTTCTTGAAGATAAGAAGAGGGTGGTTGTTTATGCTGCATCCTCCATGTGGGAAGAGATATACAAGAAAACAAGCTGTGTCCTAACCCCAAAACTTACTTCTGTGTTTTCCACAAGTAAACAGCAGAATGCTACTTATTAGATCCCAGAAGCATCTCCTAGCAAACCTTTTCCTACAGAGCTGCTACTAGTGATAATGCAAAACACAAGGAGCATATACGATGTAGAACCAAGAAGCATAAATAAGCTTTTAGAGAATCATGAAATTTGCCATTAGAGAAATAGCTAGATTTATCTTCTGTCTGAAACTTCTTACAAGGGGTTCTGTTTATAAGATATTTGACAAGTTCTATGGGAAACACATTGCTTGTGTAACAAGATACAGAATAGTAGATATGCAAGAAGTTAGCCAAGTAACAGAGACAAGTAGCACAAATATATTTTGTGAAGATACCATTAGAATAAAAGCCTACCTTTTCTTCAATCCATGATTCTATTGATGTTTTATTTCTTAAAATGACTTTCAGCTGAAAGAAAGATAAGGTAAGTGCAGAAGTTCATCATGTGAACTAGCAGAAAAATAATTCAATAGAACTTGTATTCAGAATACCACAGGGAAACATTTTTCACTCTCTATGATTTATGAAGAGAGCTGTTAACAGGATTCTCTGGGATCAATGCACTATATGTGGATTGGGTGTCTACTGCTCCACCCATTCACCGTGATAGAGAAGACCATTTCCTCAGCCTATTTATGAGAACTTGAATTTCACTGTGGAACAAAGGCAGGGTAATCATAAACAGAAGAAAAAAAGTATGTGAGTCTTCCTAAGTGACACTCTTGTTGTGTTGTTTCATGATATAGTTGCATGTCATAGTGATAGAAGCAAGGCAAGATGAAAAGGAATAACCTAAAAGGACAGTAATGGAGGCAGGTGAGCAAGCATAGTGTATAGAAATATACAAAGAGCTGCTTCCTTTGAAATGTCTGAGAGCCCTGCTCCCACCTTGCATTTTTTAATCCTGCCTGTATTCAAGGCATGGCCCTCCACCTCCACAAGTGACCAGCCACAAGCAACAGACAGGCATCTACTCCCCTGGCAATTTTCCCTAAAACATCCTCTTGTCAGAAATATTTCACAGTACAGGATGACAAATAAGTAAGCTAATCCAGTCAAATTACTGTCCAGACTGTGCAGCTGTAGAATAAAAATGTCAGAGTAAGAGCTGATTTCCAATACAAGAAGGCATAAGGCATGCTTCACCTCCTCCCAACAATACGGTTTGCTTCTCCTTTTCTACCCAATTGCACAGCCATTAGCCATTTCATAAGAAAATTTACCTGGATAACAAACAACATGCCAACTGCTATTGTTGTTCCCAGTGCCAATCCCAAGGCAAATAAAGATGCAGCAAATGCAGACAAGCCAAAAGGAATGATTGGGCGGGGGTCTCGTCTTGCTGCACTCATATCTATCTTTACAGAACTCCAGCCAAAAGATACCTATGAAAGGGAAACCAAAGAGATTTATAGAAATCAGGAAACTGCCGACTGCAGAAGCAAGCTGAGCTACCCAGTGAAAAACGTCTCTTAACACAACTGCATATTGGCACGGGCTCAAATTCATCATCCTTGTTTTTCTATAATGCATGTATAAGCAAGCTGGGCCTCTCAGAAGTTGTCTTGTCTGGAGATAATCTTTTGTTGATTATGAACACACCTTCCTACTTTTAAAAATCATAGTCCAAGCTTGAAAAAATGATACATACCCTGTTTATTCATACCACGTTTATCCCATTCTTTAGCAGAAAATGCTCCCGAGGTGTCTCCAAACAGTACTTTGTGGATTTGGTACTTAACTGGGGATCCACCATACATGGAGGAAACTTTGCATTTAAAGTTAACAATTCTATAAAAAGCCCTAATTTTATTACCAGTTCTATGTCTACTGAGTATGCCTTGTTTCGCCACCTCTACCCTCTGAATTGATTTTATTTAAGGTATACTCAGTATTAGGCTGAGTTGTAAACAAGAAGAAATGCTTGGCATCAGGGTTAGATGCAGAAAGAAATAAAGAAAACATTACACACACACAAAATCACAGGCCTCCAAAGAGGTACCAGATGTGCAAATGTCAAAACAGTGTGCATTTGATCACATCAGAAATGTGATCTGCTATTTAACCACTGCAGAAAGTTAATGAGGCTGTGCTTCCACAGGCAAATGAGCTCAATTCTGAAGATGTTTAAGAGTCATAAGAACATCTCTTACCCTGTTGTAAAGCTGAGTGTACATGGTCATGACAAAAATGAAAGCAGCATGGATACATCCAAGCGGGGCTAGCAGAAGAAAGAGAGTGAAGGAGGCATGATTCTGAAACCCACAGCAGTTATTGATCCAAGGACAGTGATGGTCCATCTTCATCACACACCTAAGAAGCAATCCAAGTTTAATATACCTGTTCAACAAACATACCACTATCACTTTTTCCTACCCTCATTCATCAGAACTTAACTTGGGACTGCCACTAACCCCATTTTCAGAAGAAAGGATGGGAGATGATACCAATTCTAGAAATGAATGACATGGGAAATGTGATGTGGACATCTAATTCAAAGTTAAATAAAACATTAGAACGCAATGCAAAGCTGTTATGTTACATGATTAAATGGCTGTTAATTGTATAGCATATATTAGCAGCAGTACCTGTTACATTTTCGGCAGTGGTGAGAGCGTGGAGCCTTGTAAGACCTGCATATTTTACAGTACTGAAGATACATGCAGTCCTGAGAGTTTTCCTCAAAAACATAAACAGAAAGCAGATAAGGAGCTAGTTCTCAGTTTGTAGACTATGTCTAAGCATTGTCTTTTGTTTTGTCTGTGTATGACTCTCGAAACCAGGGTCATTGTATAACATTGATTGGTGAGAGGTTTAGGCCAGATAAAAGGAAGTACTTCACACAGCATGCAGCTGAACTATTGAATTTGCTGCCACAGAAGGCGCTTGATGGTCACGAACCTGGGTGGTTTTGAAAAGGAATTGGACAGATTCATGAGGGATAATGCTAACAGTGGCTATTAGCGTTGCTGACTATGTGCTACTTCCTTTACCAGAGTTGGCATGCCTGCATATAGTAGTTGCTGAGAAAATTGGGCAGGAAGAGGTCTTGTACTGCTTGAGGGATCCTGTGGGCAGCTTGTTTGCCACCATGTATATGGAGTGCTGGATTAGAAGAATCTTTGGTCTGATCCAGCATGGCTTTACTTGCATTCTTATAAGTCCTGCTTTAACTGAAGAAGGGAATTTTACTTTCCACTTGTCCAGCAATCCTTCCTTTAAAAACAAGCTCACTTGATTTGATAGGATAAACAAATACTATGTTAATCTGCATGTTTAAGTACTAATCCTGCAACTAACAAACAAACCTGGAAATTTTCATGCTATGGAAAGCAACTTATCTAGATAAATAAAATCCAGTGCATTTTGCAGGTGTTTCTCCTGTTCTTAAATGCCTCTTCCATGTGTAGTTCAAAATACTGTTTTTTAAAAATGCACATTATTTATATCCCATGTTGCTCAACAGATCTTACTTCCAAGCAAGTATGTACCTTGTTGTTGCCTTACTCACTAGAACTAGAATCTGTTTGATTTTTGTCTAAGCCACGTTTTTCTTCCTATTCTTCTTCTTCAAGAAAATGACTTGGTATTTGCCTGGTAAGAGATGGGGAGGAGAGATTGAAATCTGATAGGCAACTAACACACAGCTAGTGCTGTGTAGTCAGGTTGTGCATCTGGCCACCTGTGGGCAACAAGTATGCACCACAGGTCACCAGATGAAAACTGAATTTAAATTCAGCAAAAAACAATTGAGAAGGTAGCTGAGTTACAAATGAATTCCTTATTGTGCTTGGGAACATTTAGTTTCCCTTTTTATCTCATCCCAAAATAGCCCATAGAACCTGCTCTAGGCTAGAATCTGGGAGATTTGGGAAGGAGAGTACACTAAGTTCTAGTCCAAAAACAAGTCCCATGATATTATTTGCTTACTGGTTTCCATCCAATGGGGACAAATCCAGGTCCACCAAACATGGCATTGAAGTAATTGTAAAGGATCATAACGGTCCAGTTGATGAGCATGATGAAATTAATACTTCCTCCAGTCGTGTCCAAAGGCCAGTACCACAAAACAGCATCAATTATAGCCATTGTGGAACATATTGCAATTACACTGAGAGCTATGATAGGGCCCCAGTGGCACAATCTTTTCAGTTCATGGAGATTTTCAAACCGGATAACTGAACAAAGTACGCCCATTTCGCAATCCGAGGGAGTTCCTATTTCAAGCAGTTCCTTTCACGTACATGTTTCCATTTGTAGCAAGTTTTCATTTCCATATCAATGGATACATATCCAACAAGTAAGTAGCTGGGGTTAAGTCTTTTCTGGAACTTGGAAGAATCATCAGGTGTAGAATCTCTTCACACAAGTCACCGAAGAAAATGTGATCTTTATAATCTACCTAAACAAATACAGGCACAAAATTTTTTTCTCGTAACTAGAATAAAGACAGCAACAATTTAAAAGCCAAACTCTTTAGATCAAAAGGAACAAAAAACAGATGAACAACAACAGGCCTTTTCTGTCATATACCCAATCTTAGACAAATAAACCATGCTTTCTCAGCCAGGAATACATTAGATGCCTGCACATTATCTCCCCTCTTCTCATTCATCTTCCCTCTATGCACCTGGCTTATCTGTTATTGTTAAACCTTCACGATGCAGAAACATATCTAAACTTGTATGTATTTGGAGTCCATTTGTCACCCCAGACAAAACTGCCTCAGGCAAGGCACATGTCACATATTAGAATGAATGTTCCAACATGTGTCCTTTAAATGTGTCCCCACAAGGGCACCTCCCCCCACCCGGCCTTTTATTAGGCAGATTTGGAGATATTTTACATCTCTGGAATAGTTAGTTTATAGAAAGAAAACTGTAGAAGTCAGAAGCCTGAGATTTGGGGATGTGGTTTACTACTCTGCATTTCACAATGTTCCAGACTGTAGGTCTATTTATGTGTGAATTTTACAACAAAAGCTGGGCCTGAAGTCATAAATGAACTCCAAGTTGTGAGATGGATTTTTTTTATGTGACTTCCTAATTGGGAAACAGTAATTTGCTAAAGAAGCAAACCAAATCACCAGGTTGCCTCTTGTGCACTCTTAACCATCTGTCTGACACAGAAATATCTATTTCTTTAGCAGAGAAATAATACAGACATCTGTTTATTAAACAGACTCCCAAACTGCTATATTCATCTCATTCAGAGAAGTATCTGCTCTTCATGTTGGCCAGAAGCCCTAGAAGTGTGTAGTCAGTTTCATTTGCTAAATGGAGTTTTAGTCATATGATTTTTTGGTGAAAGCTTCCCATGGTACACAGCAAATGACAGTTTGTGATATGTTGAGCTTAGCTTTTCGAGGAAAAAAAATAGACTAGCATAGATTCTTTAGATCCCAGCCCCTTCTTCCAGTCTATGCACTCAATTATACTTCCCTCTAAGTGAAAAGTAAACCAAAATACATACAATGGAGCAATAAGGTAACTATTCAACACCTGAACATCTCAGGTATTTCTCCCCATGACTCCATGCCACAAACAAAATGACTTGCTTTCAAAGGAGCTAGCCCTACAACAGTTACTCATATGTACCAATGTGGTACAATTATTCAAGCATTAGACAGGGACTCAGTCCTTATACAGTTATGAAGCCCACTGGGGTAGTCATAAACTCTTAGCTACTTCACAGCGATGTTGTGAGATTAAAAAGGAGGAGTAGGAGGATCACTTTTGCCATTTTGGAGGAAAGACAGGATAAGTCTTGAACAATCTAGCCCAGTCTATTCTGATCAGTGGCAACTCTCTAGAGTTCCAGACTGACATCTTCTCTATGATCCATTGCCTGCTCCTCTTAACTAAAGGTACCAAGTATTGAACCCTTGACTTCTGCATGAGTGCTCTTCTACTGAGCTATGGGCTCACCTCAACTCAAACTAAGCCCTCTTTGGGTATGCCTCTAGTTTTTTTTCTTTTCTTTTTCTTTTAGAAGGGTGTGTCCTCAAATCTGACACTGATCTGGAAAGGTGGAAAATACTGATCTGACCTTTCTTTTAGACTACCATGGCCTTGCCCATCCTAACATAAAATTGTATGTGCATTCTCACCCCACCTTCTGCTTGGCTCATATTGGATGAAGGATCATCTATTTTGCTATGAACAATTCACACAAAACCACTAATTTTTCATATTCCTTCAAATGCTTCACCATTTTGGGTGTGCAAGGGCAACTTTAATCACTCTCTTTGCATTTCACAGAACAAAGACATTAATGAGGAATTTTAGTCAGTTTCAATCCTACTGCATGCCCTCAATTTTACAGAGGGGCAAAGGAAAGGTAAAATAATGAGAAACATTTGATGGGACTAGCCCCACAATAGCTTATAAGCACTTAAATATATAATGAAGCAGAGGCCTTGCTAAATTAGGGAAAAGGGAAAAGCAGTTTCATGCAAGGAGTAGAAACAAACAACCTTCTGCAAACAAAAAAGAAATAATCTGGTGTTTCTTGATACATAAGGAGGAAGAAGTCTCTGGAATGACTTAGTCATTAGGAGATGAATGTGAAAAGCAGTCTGATATAGTCTCCAACCCTTACAATTTGACAAATATCTCAATGATCCTGAGCACTTATCAAGCACATGTGCAAGAAAAGTGAACAAAAAACAAGCACTGCTGGCTGCTAGTATACAAAAGGACAACTTGAAGGAAAACAGGGGTGGGAAGAATATTGAAAAAATGATATTTCTTGATTTTTCTAACCTGCTACAGTTACTTGTCTGGACTTGCTGTCATAGCATCACACTGGACTTCGCCTCTCCCAAGAAAACTCTTTAGTAAGATAACAACAAAGACTACGACAATGACGATAACGACATCGGCCGCCACCACTACCACCAGAAACTCTGGAAGTTAGCTACTTTTTTTCATATATTCACTCAGGAAAAACAAAACAAAACGAAAACGCTCCTTCCCCCTCCCCTAACAACACCTTCGTCCCTTCAGCAGTTGAACTCTGCCTTCTGCAGAAACAGTAAAGCAGTCAGTAGTCCAGCAGGTGAAGCAAGCATCATCATTGCGTCTTTCCACAAAGGCAAAGCAGTACTCGGACGTCCCGCAGGAATTATTGGCGTAAGAGCCACGAAAAGGCAAGACCAAAGAAGGGGTGGAGGAAGAAGATGGCAAAATAGTGGATGAATATATCTCTGGAGACAGGGCGAGGGCAAAGGACTGCTCGCCAGGAGAGAGCCGCTCCCCGCTCTCCTCTCTGCAGAAGGAGGCGGAACTCCTTCGCCCAGGACGGGAAAGGGTCGATGCGGCCCGCTTCCGCGCCCCGCTCCCGGGAACAAGGCGCCTTACCCGACGGCACATAGAGCCTACTCGTTCGCAGCCGCACGCCCGCTTGCTCCCTGCATTCACTTTCCCGGGGCACCTTCATGGAACCCGGACATATAACCCCTCGGTTCCGCCCTTACCCCTGTGCCGTCACTAGCCTGGCAAGTGCACTGTCAAATACATCCTCCCTACACACACACACACACAGACAGACAGACATACCCTGCGTGGATGAGAGAAACCTTTTTCTGGAATGCAAGATTTGAGGCATGACGTTTTGACGTAGGCCAGAACACGTTTCCCATGTTCAGTGACTAAAATCCGATGTCGTAGTCGGAAGCGAACCTGAGATAACAAATAGGTTCTGGAAGTGAATTCTGTTTGCAAGGACGAACCACTTGCATCTTGCTTAGAAGTCAAACTACAGAAAGAGGGATCGGGTAAACGTCGGCGATGGACAAGGGGAAGGTTCCGGGAGGTCCAGCTATGAGAGACGAGCGAAGTATAGCAAATACGAAAGCGGAACCTTGACTAGCTCCGGAAAATTTCGTGGGGGAATGTTGTTGATGAGGTACAACCCGGAAGTCTAGCAGTGACAGAAGCAGCGGCAGCTGCCGAGAGGAGTTGAGCATCTTCGGCTGCTCGGGAGCGTCGAGAGTCTCGCCACTCGCCCCACTCCGAACCGGGCTGCTCCTGCTTTGGGTCTTCCAGTCCTGGGCTTTCCCTTCCCGTCGCTGCCGCCAACATGTCCTCCGACTTCGAGGGCTACGAGCAGGACTTCTCGGTTCTCACCGCTGAAATCACGAACCGAATCGGAAAGGTGCCTAAGTTACTAGGAGGTGAGTGCTAGGGAAGCCGGAGGGACTCTGGCAGTCTCGTTTCGGATATCCTCCTCCTGTGCTCCTGACTGTCAGGAGCACGTCCCCCTCTTTCTGGAAAAGAAGCTTGACCAACGACCTTGTCCTTAGTGGCCAGCCAGATAAATCCTCCTGGGAAGCCCACAGGCAGGACAGTAGCTGGCTGGCTTCTGCTCAGAGTTGGGTGGATGCTTACCCGACTTAGGCCTTTTCTGTGCCTGAGTGTTGGTCAGGAAGGCCGGTCATTCATGTTGCAGTGCATTTTCAGTCTGGTGTTCCTAAAAGCAACTTAGTATTCACTGTTGTAACATTGTTAACAGTTTAATACACTGATAGAAAAAACCCCCATATATCATAAAATAGCACAATCCTGTGCCTGCTTGGAAAGTCCTGCCAAGTTCAGTGGGGCTTACGTCTAAGTAAGTGTCTAGCCAACTGTGGTTTAGAATCCAATCTAAGTTTAGACAGTGGTTGAATTAGGTAGAACGGCTACTAAGTAAGTGCCTTGTGCTGCTGCAGCAATACTGACCTGCACTTTCTGAAGACCTTAGTCATCCTAGCTAGGCAGACAAAGGATGAGTACATGGAGATGGGGTGCGATGTAGCAGGGAGACGGGATCAGTGAGATGACTGGATGTTGATTTAATAGATTAAAAAAACTTCTTCTGTTGAGACTAGAGTTCTTTTTCAGCACCATTGTGAAGCCTTGCTTGTTCTTTTGAATTGGTGCTGTCCTCTTTTCCCTTTCAAGGTACATACACTGTACATCTATGCAAGGCTGTGTTCCAAGCATATGATCTTTAATTCAAAAGCCAGGGCTAACACCACAACCTGCCTCATAACATGTACTCGTACATGGGCACATGACAAAAATGCAAATAGTACAAAACATGTCTCTTACCATGTCCTTAAAACAGTATTCCCAACCCACAAACTGAGAGGTTCAAACTAATGGTGAATAAACTCTAACACTTAAGTGGAAGATTAAATGACTAAATAAATCCCAGATGACTGATAATGTTTTTCATCTATCTATCTATCTATCTATCTATCTATCTATCTATGTTTTTAGATGAAAAGAGGCAAATGGTTTCAAATGTGGAGAAACAGTTGGAAGAAGCAAGAGAACTGGTAAGTTATGGAGTTTGTTAGCTGTTATGTCACACAGGTGGACATGTGTTAATATATGGTAGAATATCTCCAGTTATCAATGATGTGGCTGAGAATAGGTTGTGTGTGGAAGTGCTTGCTCTGGTTACTCATCGCCTAATTCTGAGGTGAAAATCTTTATGAGGGTGGGAAGTGGCTGATAGGAATGAGCAAGCAGAGAGGAAAATTGAGAGACAGTAAAACATAGAAGAGAGTTTTCTAACACTGTTCTATTGTGCTTTCCATTGTACAATCCCCAGCATGTTCTCAGTTCTTCATTCCCATCTGCACTTGCCACCGTTCTTTTTTCTTGTCTGCAACTTCCTAGTTTAGAGATGACTTCATTCTTTTTCTGTACTATATATTGTTCCCGCCACCTGCATCATCACAGTTATTTCTGCACTTTTTGTTACCCCATTTTCCATACCATAGAGACCTCTCTGTACCACAGTCTCTCAAATAAATGCCATGACTTTAGACTTGTGGTGCTAGGAGCTGTCCATCTGTAATTGTCATGAGTGATACTGGAAGGCTGTACAGAGTAGTTGGCTGGGTGCAGCAGCTGGAAAAAGAGGTACCAACTGCACCACATACCTCTGTGTCTAGGGGTAGGAGAAGCATTTGTGATGCAGGCATTTAAAAATTCCTTCATGGGTGTGCAAATAAACAGGGAAGGGACCACAGTTGGCTTATGAGCATTACATTGTTCAGATAGAGGTAAAACAAGTGGTTGAATCTTTGGCTCAGGGCTAAGAAGTGGTTAATATATATGTGCAGGAAAGAAACGAGAATAATAGATGGTTGGAGCTGCTTCTGGCATATTATAATTACATACAGAAAGTACACCTGGATATGAGCTGTGATGCTAATGGAAAGTATTGCTGGCACATGCCCAAGCCAGATCTGTAACTGATATTAGCCTGTAGAATGTAACTCATTAGTGGATGTCTTGTAGTATGGTTACTTTTTGTTTCTGCTATTTAGAATAACTATAACTCCACATTTGTTTGACTGTCTCTGGAAAAAATGGTGGTTGTCAGGCTGCATCCCATTGTCACTGGTGGCATGGTGCTCTTCCCTGCAAGATTACGGAAATCTTCTACTTGCCTGCTAGATTCTATAGGGCACCTATACTGTGTCATTTGGCTCTGGTTTGCTTGCTGACTTGTCCTATAAGAAAACATCTATTGTCAAGAAAACAACTGTTACCCCATCTAGCTGCAAAACTTGAAAGTGAAGGAAAAGGGTCTTTTTGCTTCAGCCTTGAGGCTGGGTTATTGGTTTCTCAAGGTGTCTAGTAGGTAAATCAGGAACCCCTCCCTGATAAATAGCAGTCACAAATGGAACTTAGCATATGTGGATGAATAAATATGCGGGATTTTACTTAGCATCTGAAATAGGTGAACTTCCCTGGAGAGGGCATTCTACCATTTGGACACTCTAGCCTATTCCTAACTAGTTTTGTAAATTCCTTTCTGAATTGTTAATCTGTGGCATGGCATATGGTTGTGTTAATGTATGGAAGACTGCCTCAGGAAAGGAAGTTCTTCAAATGCAGCTATGTTTCTTTAGTCTTCATACCATGTTACTTGATTTTTAAGAGAATGAGCGTATATGTTTTCATTTTTGAGCATTATTAATCTCATATCAGTTGTTAAACTGCTGTTGATTGCCATGCAGAATCAGCAGAATGCGTTTTTTTAAAATTGTTTTTCCAAGTGACTGCTGTTTAAACTGTTAGCTGAAATATAATTTATTTCCTCCTAATAAGACAATAAGAAATTTCAGGCAACAATGCTGCCAAACAGAGCTGTTAGACATGCGGCCCTAGGCCATGTAATGACATGAACGATAAATGATTGTTTTGTTGATCAGGCATATGTTATTGCCCTTTCAGTAAAGGCAATTATACTTTCTACCCAGATAAGAAGTTTTCAGTTATTACCAGTTAGAATAATGCAGATAATTAAGTTAAAAATAAATCTAGGCTATTAGGTATTTAAGTTTTAGATTTCATTTTGCTGCCTTTCAATATATATATATTCAAAATGACTTACAATTTATTAAAAAATAAGCAGTGCAGTCATCAGCTGTAAAGGTCATCCATTATACAATGATAAATAGCCAATAAAACCTCAGCACCAATCAAGCATGCATAGTTAATGGCATATATTCACTTGAATGATAGGAATCTTACTTCTGGTTATACTATATCTCCTCTTTCCTTTTCAGTATGCTTTGCAAAGATATGTTATTGAAGCCTTTCAATAGCTAATTGACTTATTCCTTAAAGAGTTTTGCCAGGATGGCTGAGGCAAAATTATTGCTTTTTCCATAGCTCAAGTTTTACATTTAATTGCAGAAGTATGTAGGGTCATGCAAAAAGGGTTATGAGAAGTTTTAAAGACTACTTGCAACTTGGAAACCTATATCTAAGAACAATAAATTTATAGCAATCCATCTATTAGTAGTGTATTTTGGACTTGGTTCTAGTTCACGTGTTTGTATTTAAGTAAAAAATAAATTAATAGTAATAGGTATTTTATAGTCACAATGACTGATTCGTTCTTCATTTTTTCCACTTTACAAGGGAATGTTTGTCCATCATATTCCTCTTGTGGATTCATTAAAGCAATCCACCTTAAAACACTCTGACCTTTGACAAATCATTTAATCTATGCTTTAGCTTCTTTGATCAACATGCAAGGGTGACAATTCCCTACTTCACATAAGTGATAAAGGCAAATTATGAATTACAAAAGGCATTGATAATGAAATAGTTATAGGAAAATCTTTCTTCACTACCTCCCTTTAAGAAAAAAAGAGCTTCTGTTAATCTAATATATAAAAAGATGCTATGTCTTTGTGGTAACCAATCACTCACATCTACTTTTCTCTGCAAAGCAGTCCTCAATTTTTAAATGCTAGAATGAGTAGAAGTTAAGCTAACAACTCATTATTTTTCTTCCTTCTAGTGTCATAATATGAACAAAATTGGCTGATTTTTCTCAAAGATTAAAAAGAATATCCTGTTCTAACATTTCCATCCTAATGATGATCTTCATTTACTGTACTTCGTTTTTTGTTCATGCTGTTGTTTTCAGATCTTGCTGCTAACGCTTCTAGACAGGTGCTTAATGCAATTACTGACTTTAAGCAATTACCTAACATGTTGGTGATTAATGTCAAGGCTTGCCTATTAAAATCAATTTGAACAAAACTGGCTAAGAAACTCAACTCATTAAAAGGCCTCTGGAACAGGCGCAATAGAAAACACACCAGAAATATTGCCGTACAAATCTTATGGTTCTTAGGCTTGGATTCAGATAGGGTGTAAGTCTCATTGAATTAATTAGGGCTTACTCTTTTGAGTAGATATGCTTAGAATTACATTCTGACTCTGCATATAGTTGTGTTGTTAACGCCTTCTTCGAAATTAAAGCAGTCAATCATTTCATTTGCTTTAATTCATTTGTACTTTCTGAAAGGAATCATAACTAAAGGCATGATGATCAGTGATCATATATGCACTTTTCTTATTAATTATCAAATTGAGCCCTGCTTAGCATCATAAGGTAGCCTAATGTTGTCCCTTTAAACTGTATACTAAAAAATTAACAGTAACAATCTCCTACTGTGTGTTCTTGATTAAGACTTTTAAAAACATTTCATGTATTTGCATTTGATGCAGTTCATGTATGCAGACAGTTCATTTTATTTACTTACAATATGATGCTCAAAGCTACATAACAAGTCCACATCCATGTTACTTCCTTTAACAAAAATGTAAGAATAATAAGTGTTGCTATTTAGCTATCTAGACAAGTGTTCTAGGAGCAAATGCTCTGAATGTTTGATATTCACAATTTTGCTTTGTAGATGGTTAATTTATTAATCAGTAATATTTACAGGCAGCCTCTGTGTTCATATTTGCTCTTATAGCCACACTTGTTTCATGCTGCAACACAAAACCATTATATATGTGTATTATATATCTTACCCTGCCTGTTAGCCAGGACTGGTTCCTTAAACAGCATATAATTAGAAACTACAAAAGGCAGTTCCTTTTGGTATCTGGTATGATAATTTTCCTATGATAATGGGCAGACAGTGTTGCAGATGATCTATGGGGCTGCTGGATAGCGAAGATGAAAGCCCCGAGTTAAAGCCTCTTTATTTTACTTATTTATTTCATTTGCATTATTTGCATATCCCCAGATAAGTTCTTTGAGAAGTTTATAATAAACAGGTATAAACATGATTTCAATAGAAATGAAAACATAAAGCACTGCCTACAAAATCAACATAAAATACAATAACAGAACAAAACTTGCAGTATCTGAACTAGCAGGCTGCCTTCCATTATTTATACCCAGTTGGCATTTAAATAATCCGAGGAGGCCTTGCTAATTAGTCTAAGATTTTTACTTTTATTTTAATTGTGCCACATGAAAACAACCAAACTGCACCATCAAAAAAGGTGCAGAATTAAACATTCTGAGATTAAGAGCATGTCACAATTGGATGGCAGGTCCTTCTTGGTAGTAGACCCTACCCTTTGGAAAACCTTTCCTGTGCAGTTCAAGAGGCAGAAAATGTGCTAATTTTTAAGTGCCTCCTGAAAATGCACATGTTTACCCAGGCTTTTCCTAGCCTGCAATTAAATTAATCATGATGTCCATTTTTACAGTTCATGTATTGCTTTTTAAAATGTCTATAACTGAATTTATTTTTCATTTTGCATTTTAATAGTATTTCAAATGTGATTTTAATGTTTGCTTGTGAAGTGGCTATAGATTTTATTATATTTAAGCATGATGATGATGATGATCAGATTTTAAAACTGTTCCACATAGATTATTTAAAAAGGCTTGGATGATAAGGGATGTCAACAAGCAATGAAAGAAACACAGGGACAAAACCAGGTTAGCTTCTCTAGGAAACAATTCATTTGATGAGGTACCCTAAGGTAAATCTTAAGG